AAAGATCTATTTCTCTTATCATCTATTGCTCAATGAAATACCACATGATTGGAAGTCTGTTGGATGTCATATACTCGTTTGTCGAGACCCGGGCCTCGGATTCTCGGTACACTTCACTCGATTTTGATACCCGGGACACCATAGTTGGAACTTGTCTCGAATCTCGGGTCTCGGGTCTCGGGCATCGGGTCTCGGGCATCGGGCATCGGGTCTGGGGTCTCGATGGTCGGGACTCGATATACGGGACTCGTTGGTCGGGACTCGATACTCGATTGTCGGGATTCAATGGTCAGGCGTCGGGTTTCATGACTCAGTAGTCGGGACTCGATAGTCGGGACTCAATGGTCGATTTTCGGGATTCAATAGTTGGGGCTCAGATATTGGTACACTTCACTCAATTTTCGGTGGTCGGAACTTGGCATTTGGCATTTGGTAGGCTTGGATGATGTTGGCTTTCAAAGATCTATTATCATCCATTGCTCAATGAAATACCAGATGATCGGAAGTGTGCTGGACATCACATATTCGTTTGTCGAGACCCGGGTCTCGGAACTTGGTACACTTCGCTCGAGTTTCCACTTCACCCCTTTGCAAAGCTCCGTGCCATACCACATCATTAGATGACTTCGAATAATCACCTCCTTTGATTTGGATGATATACAACTAGCTGAGCTCCATCATGTCTACAATTATCATTCTCCTGGGCCCACCCGTCTATCTTATATACCCCCACGTCGGCCTACCCATCTATGCAATATATGTCCTCCCGTCGGCCCACCTGTATATAATACATCTTTTACTGCTCCCTCGGCCCACCCGTCTACAAAATAATATTAATTCGTCGGCCCACCCGTCTAATATGATATATATCTGGGCCCACCTGTCTATGTGATAACAAGCACCCTTGATATACCCGGCTATTTGATACATATCTACCTTGGTACACCCATCTACATAATATCCAACTACCTTGGCCGATCCATCTATTGAAAATTCATGTCCATCGGCCCACCCATCTACTTTACATATTCCCCACCTGGGCCCACCCATCTCCATCGGGAATAATAACACTCCCGGCCCATCTGTCACAGTCGAGGATATATCTACCCTCGGCCCATGGTCCGCTGGCCCGTATCATACGGGATATTATGCACGTCCATCCACTCGTATAATACGGAGATATGTTACTGCAATATGTGGGAATGCATCACAGAGCAGGATGCTAATAGGGTGGTATATATAGTATAATAAGGTATCGGGGATGCATCAATGGCGGGGATGCATCAAGCGTGGGATACCTGCAGCGCCATGATTAGTAAGGCTGAGGTGATGTCATAATGCATCAGGAATGTATGATACCAATGATGCATCTGTAATGCATCATAATGCACCATATATTAGCAGCCCTAGCATTGTAGCATGAATGCATCACTACTAACCCTACAGTTTCAATGCTTTGTTGCATCAATATGACAGGGACGCCTGAATGATTGAAGGGACCAAGTTGTTCTATAAGTCTTAAGAGCGGTAAGGGAAGCTGTCATCAGTGAACACGTGAGGAAAGTAGAAGCCCATATATCACGATATATAGTACACAATCACAAGAACCAACATAATTCTGCTATCGACAATCACATTGTTATGTTTGGCCTTATAGAGGAAAGGAGATTCCCTGATGTTCCTACAAAATTTTATGATCGGGAAAAGATCCTGATTTCGCTCAAGCTCACAGTTGAAGCGAAGGTGTGGTAAAGGCCAACGGTTGAGCTAGATTAATCAATAATGTCATAACGGAAGGTAGGTTCACAACTATGAAGCTATGAGTGAAGGTCAATATCTTCCAGACGACAAGTATGTGTTGACCGCGCGGGCAACAGTAAGTTTCGTGACCTGATTCAAACCTCAACACCATCATGTGAAGTGCCTAACGTCAGGAAGGACATTCACAATTACGAAGCTACAAGTGAAGATTGATACTTTCCAATCGACGAGTATATGCTGACCTGCGCGGGCGACAGTAAGTTTCGTGGCCTGATTCGAACCTTAATATCAGATGTTGAGGGATACAAGGATGATCCACTGCATATCGATTGGGAATGTGTGTGAAAAAGATTTACCCTTGTGCGCCAGCCTAGATATGTTTACTAAGCTGGCAACAATCAAATCGTATCGTGATTCGAGTCTCTAGGCGATCACCTTTGGGTGAATAATGACTGGTAGTGGTATATCACTTATGACTGCGTCCCAATATGTTTGAGCTACGCATGGGCACCGTGGAGTTACGGCCTAGTGCTTGACTCAAAACCTGACAGTGAGGGATCATGTGCGACTTCGGTGCTCCGCTTACCATCCAAACAAAGCCTTCTTCTACATTGTGTCACATCAATGTAATTCTGTATCTTCTTGCCATGCAGGAGTAATATTTACGTGTGTATTCGGGACTTTGGTGATATAGCCTCGCGATCTAACCATACTATTGTTGTCGGGCTGAGTTAGGTATTTATATAGTCATCTTAAGATCACTAGGAATCACTATGGAGAGCCTGCTTGGAAATAAATTAGCCCCACAGTGGCAAGTATTATCAGCAGAACTTTGAATTCAACATGTCTGTCAATTCTGTTTAGCTTGTAAGTCCATACTTTCTGTGCGAGGATTGCCACGAAGGCCGGAACACACATACTTTCAGCCGATTTAAAATATACAGGTGGAATTATAGCCTGAATCATGCTCGGAATCATTCATACTTGTTAACATGAATGTCAGTGGTATGATATCATGGATCCCAATTTCATGCCAGGCATGGATCATCAAATCACAAAATTGATAACAAACTACGACATCAAGAACCGTATGTAGATAATAATAGATTCGAACAACGGTATGTCCCTAGTTTGAATCAAAAACAGCATCATCGAGTTGTGCCCTCTGCCTTGCGAGAGCATTGACAGACATGTTGGACCTCGCCGCATTGCTGAGATCCTCATGGCAGCTCCTACCGAAAACTTTCCTGGACAGGTTGATTACATTAATTGAGGCTTGTTGAGAGTATCAGTATAACATCCGCACCTAGTCCACCACTCAAGGAGTTTTCTCCATCTTGATAATTTGCGCAACGTGTTTCTTGACCTTAATTCCCCAGGCTGCCTTCTTAGCACGTCTATTGTTCTTGATGACATCAGCACCATCACCATCGCCCTCAATGTTCTTTGCTGAGGAGGGAGACGTGAAGACAGCTTTATAGCCCTGGGAATAAACAGTGAGATTATGGCCAGGCAACTCAGTGCTACTAACCTGCACTAAAATTTTGCCCTTAAAAAGGCCTTCCTCCAAATTCTCCAGATTGGTGGTATACTTTTCATACAGGAAGGCCGGAAAAGAGAGGTCCTTCACGATATAACCTTCAGAGCGATCCCGAATCCCTGCCTTTGTGCTGGTGAACAGTTAGTATTGCTTGAGGTTTCTGGATACACTATGTACATTGGGCTGTTCCAATCAACCTCAGCTGGGCAGAGTAACTTGCCACACGCATCGTTGATGAATCTGCGAGAATGTGTGTCGTCAGGGTCCACCAGGGGATTCGGTTTGAGTTCACGATTGACCCAGTTGGCAATAAGAGTCTTCAGTTTCGATGTAACGTCACCTCGAGCTCCATCAGCCCCCTGCCTAAGCTAGTAAACAAAGACTTGTCATGATAAAGTCGACTATCAGCATCGGCACAGCACACACCATTTTGAGCATGTGCGTGTACTCGTTGTGCTCCATGTCGGAGGACGTCTTCAGCAACCACGGCAAAGTTCTTATTAGGATATCGTACCCTATTTGCAGTCGCTCTTGACTACGTAAAAAAGTCGATGTGAGGACGCTGGTGACAAACCAAGGTCAAAAAAACTTACTCGAAATTAGCCATGTCCTCGTTGTCATCGTATCTTCTGTCATTTTCAGTGATGAGGTCTTCGATACTGTGGAATAAAGCGACAACATGCCTGATCCCTCTTCCTTGAGCTAGATAGTAGTTCGTTTGCCTGACAGATGTTTGAGCGAAGCCAACTCGACGCATGAAATGACGGTCATACCTTTCTTTTGCAGCGTGTCCTGATTCAATAGTCTCTAGCTTTCCCTCCAGTTCAGCGATTTTATGTCTCTGCTGTGCCTGCAGGAGCAATGACTGTTCTTGGGATGATTCTGGAGGCTGCTGGAGGCCACTGTCGCTGTGCTGGTTTTCTGAGTCGATGATAGACCTGTCATCGCCGTGTGCCATACTGTGCTCACCCTGCGACAGTGACATCGAGCAAGAGGGGGGGTATAATGCAGTGACAATGAATGAGGAAAGAAGATGAGAGAAAGGAACTTACCAGTACCCAGTATATACAGTGGCTCAAAAAACCGTCCGTATGTTTTGGCATTTTTCACTATCTATAATATTGTGTGAGAACAAACAAATGCCTCAAAAACATGCTTATACCACATTGTAGTATGGCTTCAGGGCTTTCATTTGAGCCCTACACCGTGGGAATCGGTGGAGATATGGTGGAGATACAAGGCTCACAAAATGGTGACTCATGCGGACAGTTTTTTGACTCAAGTATTTTACAGTAATAACCAGGTATTCTAGTATTTTGTATGACCTCCCTTGGCTTTAATTACTGCCTCTATCCTTCTAGGCATACTCTCAATTAATTTCTGGCAATCCTCAGCTGTGATCTTCCCCCATTCCACTGCTACTCTCTCCCAAAGCTCCCATACTCCTTTAGGGGGGTTTTCATAGGCTTGAAGCTTTTTCTTGAGTGTTCCCCAGAGATGTTCAATGACATTGACATCAGGAGACTGTGCTGGCCAGTCAAGAACATTGATGTTATGTTCTTCAAACCATTCCCTAGCTCTTCTGGATGTGTGCTTGGGATCATTATCCTGTTGGAAAATGATATCTTCTTCATCAATCCCTGATTCTGCCAAGCTAGGCAGCAAGTGGTCATTTAAAATGTCCACATACTGCTCAGCATTCATCTTCCCCTCAACCTCAGCAAGCATTCCCACACCATTCCATCCCATACAGCCCCATACCATTAAAGAACCTCCTCCAAACTTGACAGTCCCATTAACCTCTCTGTCTGTTAGGCCATCTCCCTTCTTTTTCCATACATACACCTTCCCATCTGACCCAATCCTATTGATTTTGGTCTCATCTGACCATATAACATGCTTCCAGTCCTCTACAGTCCAGTGTTGATGAGCTAAGGCAAAGGCTAGTCTTCTCTGCCTATGTTTGATGGAGAGAAGAGGCTTTTTCTTCTTTGTTACTGCCTTGAGATGAGCTGCCTTGAGAACATTCCTCACAGTTTGTGAAGAGACAGGGGTAGTGATGGTGGAATTGATATAATGGGTGGCTTGGACAGCATTATCAGCCTTTCCTGTAGTGATATGTTGGATAATAGCCCTTTTGTCAGTAGAGGTAAGCTTGGATGGACGTCCTCCACAAGAGTTTTCCTTGTCTGGGTGGCTTTCTTTGATGAACTTGGCCACAGTGGACTTGCATATTCCAGTTCTAGAGGAAATTTGGCGAGCAGAGAGGCCAGCATAAGACAGAGAGAGGATATTATCTCTTTGAGCAGAGGAGATGGCTTTCATGGTGATTATGACTATGATACATGAGATATTCTGGTTTATATAGTTAGATATAGTCATAAAATAACATAATGACACCACTTTATAATTTATATAATAGTGGCATGATTTTTATGATGTCATAAATAATGATTTATATAGTTTTAATATACACTCAAAAAACTGTCCACATGAGTCATCATTTTATAAGCCTTATATCTCCACCATATCTCCGCTGATTCCCACGGTGTAGGGCTCAAATAAAAGCCCTGAAGCCATACTACAATGTGGTATAAGTATGTCCTTGAGGAATTTGTTCATTCTCACACAATATCATAGATAGTGAAAAATGTCAAAACATGCGGACAGTTTTTTGAGCCACTGTATACTAGCCAACCACTTCCTGACTCAGCGGGGGTGTTTGAACAGATTGTTCATAATCAACAGAAACTAGCGTCCTGCATCCTAAAAGTGCAAAAACATGGTAAGTAACATGGTATTGCCATAAATGGACAGGGAAACAGCAGGCAGCCTTCGTACATACTTGATTTGGCTTCAATTGTCTCGTAATGTTCAAACATGATGGCGAAAAGACTCGGATAGACACTTTTCGTGAGACATGTCATTATTTGCAGGTTTGTAAAAGAAATAAGCAGGAGGATAGCAGTAAGGGCAGATGTGTACTAAATTTGGAGAATTTAAATACCGAGGCTGACGTGGCTGTGCTGCTGAGTGCAATGGTCATTCAAACAGTCCGAGCAGGCACGGGTATTGATGAAACATCGCTAAATAGTGGGACTTTGCCGAATGAGGGTCAAGGTGGCAGCCAACCCAGCCGCAGTTCCATGGCATGCCTAAACACTGAAAGGTGATGAAAGGTGTGGCGTCATGTAGCCCACTTGGTGTGGTAGCCGAAGTTTTGAAAACGAAGAAGTGATTCGCTAAGGGAACACCGTAACCACCTTCAACTGATTCATAAGGAAGAGGGATGACAGGAGAATTCTTGGCCGGGGACAGAACAGTCAGACTGATATTTGAACATAAAATTTTGAAGGTGAGCGAGCACAGAGATGGAGAAGATCACATGTTGACAGGAAAAGATAGTAAGGACAGAATGTATCAGAAGATAGCAACATTGGCGAGGAGCAGATACACAATGGCGGCCTGAAAAGCGTTAGCAAGAATTTTGATAAAAGCACGGCCGTGGCGTTCTGTCAATGAGAGCGACGGGAGCTTGACCTTGATGTGCGATGTATCTGTATGATCATCAGTGGACTGTTGTTTGCATGAAACACCTGACGATTGCGAGCCAAATTGGATGCCAAAGGACGTGGACGGCTTGGGTCCTGGTCCGCTTGGTGAGGAAAGGAGCATAGTCAGATCATGTACATGTACGATCCATGATAACCACGTCCCTCGCATGACTGAAGAAACACGCCAAGTTCTGAGATATGTCCCATAACATGGGCCACTAATGTGTTCCTCTGAGTCTTGGCAGCGCGGGGGCGAGTCAGTGCTGTCTGTGCATTATCATCCATCCATTCCTTTAACTCTGCTAGAAAGGCTCGTGTAGCGCCGGCTTCAATGCCTGGAAAGAAGTCCGCTTGCTACTCTTCCATGAAACGGTAAAGACTGAACTTGAAGGGCACTGCGAGGGATGGAAATAGCCATACTGTGTAAGAAGGAACTTCTGCTAGACAGATAGTACTCACAGATGATTCCTGGCGCCAGAGCAAAAGGTCAAGGAAGCAAGAACATCCTGATTCCGGGCCCAAATTCCTGGGGCAGTGCTGGTAGCCCTTGCGCGTATGAAAGCGTTGCCGAAGCTAGCAGTATAACTGACAGAGTGAACCTCATTGTGCATCAACGGATCGACTCGTTTGAGTGATGTGAAAAAGATGACCGTATTCGTGGTCCCGATCTTGGATGCAAGCTATTCAGTTGTGGCACGAATGTTAATGGGACGAAGGGCGACCGTGAACATGAGGTGAGACGGCCCAGAGTTTGGAAGTGCTTGGTCGGAGACCGGCTTCCATTTACTTGATACCCCCTGTAGGCGAAATACAGTTTGTGCGAAGGCAATCAAGTGAATGAAGACAGTGTCATTGATGTCACGGATAGTGAGAGTGCATACAGTCTGCGGAATGGCAGTAGTATGATAGTTTGCTAGAGAAGGGCTCTGTGACTGTAACCGGACTCCTTCCAAAGGGATCAGCTGTGAAGAGTGAAGCCGTAGAGCACAAGAGCTGATATCTAGACGAGTGGTGGATGCTGGCAACTTGTCTGCGATGATAATGCTTACAAGGTCGGCAGTGGAGTTGACGGAGCCAATGATAAGTCGTGCACTATCCATGGACTTTGGAGAGGTATGAGGATAAATTATTTCCAACAGACTAGGTATACCTTCCTTGGAGGAGTCCAGGTTCAGTATGAGCTCTGCGAGACATAAATCCACCAAAACATTCCCATCATGTGCTGTAATGGATTGGCCCGTGCTATTTGTACTAATATCTCCTTGGAGGCGGGCGAACTGGAGTGCAGTTTGTAGATGGAATAGAAACTTGTAGGTAGCATGTATCCAGAGAGCTTGAAGGTGACCCCGTTGGACGAGGAAAGAAGCTTGAATGGTCGAAAGTGGATCGACGGCTGCCCTATTCTAAGTGAGATCCAGAGTATAGTAGACAATCTCAGCAAAATGGGTAGATGAGCTAAACTGTAGAGAGGGGCGTAAGAGGTCTCACAAATCCTGTTCCAACGCCTGAAACGTGGCAACAGCATACTCAAGGCTAACGGGTTGAAGTTCCAATGTAAAATGGCCACATAAATGCTAGAATAATTCTGCATGGCATCCAGTTTGAGTCAATGGAGAGATAATGTTGGGCTATTTCCAGGTGAACATTTGGAACCAAGAGTAACCGCGCTTGATCAGCGAGTGCCTCTGAGTCACAGCTGTCTAAACTTAGCAGTTGTAACACTCTGCATTTAGAAACAACTCACATCTAGTAGAGGACCAGCCACTTACTGAGGATTCAGCATCTGTTATGTATTCGTCATCTGACTCCTCTCCTAACACAGAGATGTTGTCATCAACGGCAGGTCGGTGGCGCCAGTCGACTCCTGTAAAAACTGTTAATCTAGTAAAATAGACTAGAAAACGGACAACATATGCCGGATGTCCATCACGACCTGCTTCGGATATATTCTCCTCTCTGTCTGAGTCAGATTTTGAGGAAAGTCGAGGCCACCATACAGCCATGTTCTTGGAGTGTGCAACGCTCGTGAGCGGTACTGGAGGGTATGATTTTGCTCTGCATAAATGTAGTAGGAGACGTGGAGGAAGATATAGTGCATTGCGATGGTAACCAGAACGCGTGAGCTGCAGCAACTTGGACTGTCGGTTACTACTAGTAGTATCAGGAAGAGAGGCTTTTCATGTCCTCTCCAAGTCAGGCTCTACAAGTTCATCAAGTACTAGATGGAGTCAAGTTGTGCTCGGTATTTCCGAGTCAGTTCATCTTCAAGTTGTCCCTTCATGAGATCCATCTGTGATGGATTGCGGATCTTTCAAGTTGGGGATCCATATGTATCCAGGCTGATGCCAGTGTCTGTCACAGTGGTACAGCCGCCTCGAGTATTTAAAATCATTGGAGGTAAATACATCACAGCACAAGCGTATTCATAAACAGGAGCTTGGGAAAAGTAGACAGCCAATCACGAGAAGATTGGACACAGCAGACAAGGAGTATATGGTGCATGTTGAATGCCAAACACGACACATGTGGCGTGCGTGTCAAAGAAAGGAAACATAAACGACCTTAATGGAAATAATGGGGCAGACAATCAGGGACCCGGCCCGGGTGCATGCTATACAAGTAGTACAAGGCAGTATACAGACTCAGAATCACGAATGCGGCCTGTATTTAAAATTAGCTCATGGAGTGCGACTTGAGGCTGACCATGCTCACCTCTTCAAGTTGCCATATGCAGTCTGCTCAAAAAAATGAATATCCCACAGGCCACGACGTGTTGTTGGCAGTACCTTGATTCTCTGGCTCGTAGCATTCAGTGTCATGGCAGACAGGACCTGTATTAGCCTGAGAATGTACAACCATGGAAGATCCAGTTGAGAGGTCACCTGTCATGTACTGCGGGTACAGCAGCCCCTCCTGGACAGGCATCTGCGGCACTGCGCTGACAGACGATGATTGTGGGTACAGCATGCTACCATCACTACTAGTAGCACCTGCCAGTGCTTGACACGGTCTAAATAATTGCTCCATTGTGTCAGGCACGTAAATATGCCTTTCCAGAGGCAACAAGCCCGATTTGGCTTTCAAGACCTGACTACGAAATTATGAGTGTGGTCGTCATATTCCAAATCAATGTAGCAGAGATTACTTACAGGCCTCTGTTATGAAGGTCTATAAACTGTGCCGGTAAAGTCTCCTTGTGGATTGGAAGCTGTAAGGCATGCTTGACAGCGTTGAAGTAGGAGAGTTGTCGTGGGGTGTATCGTTTGCCGAGGAACCGCACATTTCTCCCAAAAGCTTCTTCTACAACCTTATCGATACCGCACTCCGCCTAAAAACCATGAAGAAATAGTTAATATGATGAACACTAGAGTATCTGTGACTCACTCCAACTGCAACATGTGAGAACATATGGGGTGTTGTTGTGTTGAGCTCCGTCAGGAATTTCTCATCGCGAAGTGGCGTATAAGCGCTTGCATAAAAATGAAGCAAATGGATTTTTTCCAAAGTCTCATTCCTAAACATGAGCAACTTGTCACAGTTGGAGTCCTCGTCGAACACCTTACCGTGTAAAAATATTGCCATCGATTCTCCTCAGATGAATCGAGGAGCGCTATTCTGTGATTCACCATGTAGGCTAGGCGTTGATCTTTGGACATCGTACCCAGGGGTTCGAGCATAAACTCGCTTGCAAACCGATCAACAAGATCTATAAGACCGGAATGGAATTGTGTGACGGCATGATTGATCAGACAGATGAGATCCTTTGTCAACACTAGATCTGGTATATGATGAGTAGTTGGTACTGCGACAGTGGTGTGCTTGACACATACTGGTCCCAAATAACGCATTGGCTTCACTGACTATCTCATTAACATAGGCGCTCTTATCTTCATCTGTTTCGTTTTGCGGCCACACAAGCGTGGTTAAGAAATCCATCAACAGGCACTTACGCGCCCATTTCATGGCTGAACTGCTCATTTGGGAGCAGATCATTCAGAGCCAGCTTTTTTGCCTTTTTCTTGCCGGTATCCGATGATACAAAGCTTCCTGATGCCATTGAGGAGTCTGAGTACAGTGTCACCTCGCTCATGCTGCAAGCGCGACCCTACGGCTGCAAGCGGTGCGATTGACATTCTGAAGGCATCACACGCCGCCTGGGATTTTTGGGGTCGTATGGTATAGTTTGGAAATCCCCGAGTACAGCCTGAGACGGAGTGGTCATGACTTGGATGCTTCAAGTGGGAAGAGGGAAAGCTAGGACTCAGGTGAGTTAGATAATCAATAGTCGATGAAGGGTAAAATATAACAAAATCCTGAGTATGATGTGGTGAAAGAAATAGTAGTCAGCTAGATATACCAACTAACTTACTAAATCCTAATGGGTGCGAGTGCAGTACTTCGACCCAAGGGGACTGCTATTGAAGCACTTCCTTCTAATAGTGCGAGGGAAGCGAAAGGAAGAACTAAGCTCTAAGGCCCGAGATATCTGACCGACCAAAGGTCCGAGTCCGAGAATGTCCGACGCGATATGGGATACCGATGGTACACCCGACGCGAGATACCGATGCGAGATGCCGATGCGAGATACCGATGCGAGGTGGGGAGTTTGATGCCGATGAGCGGCACGTAAGTCTAGGCCGAGGTAAAGAGAGTCCAGGTATAACTAGGTATGGCGAGGTAAGACTAGGTATGGGTTGCCGATGTAAGACTACTGGTAGCGGTCCGGATCTCACAAGGCCTAGGTAAAGAAACCTTAGATAGAGTGCACTTAGAGCGGTCAAGGCACGTCCAATGATAAAAGCAAGGGGGATCAATTTGCACAATCAAGGACTAACTAAGGTGACTCCTACAATGGTACCAGGTATGTCCGAGGAAGGGAAGTAGTGGATAATACGAACTTGAGTCCTATTTATCTAACTGCGTGAACGTCCGGAATCGCACAGGCGAGAGTAGTAGTGAAACGCGAGGTACTCGGGTCGATATGTAATAAGGCTCGCGAGTGCTGCGGCCATGGGAATAAATGTAATAACACCTGCTGTTTGTTCAGTAACAGTAAAATGAGCTTAAAATGCACCAATGGAGATAGGTGGACATGGGTAGGACATGGGAGGATTTGGTACCGATGGGACGGAACGGTCGGCCAAGGCGCGCGATGGCCGATCCGACGAGCAAGGGACAGTTAAGACAACCCTGGCTCTTCTGCGAGAGACCAAGGCCACGGATCTGTATCGGCCGAGTCGGACATAGACCGGCACGACACAGGTGAGTCGAGTGAGTCGAGACTTTGCAAGGAAGTGGTGTATGGATGCGATGTGGATATCTAGGCTGCTTGACTCCTATAGCGAAATGGGGTTCTGCGAGGCTAGCCCGAGCTTGAACACCACAACGATAGCGTTACGGTCACAGTAACCCTCCAACGCCGCATGTGCTAAAGTTCAAATTGAAGGTTTTCAGGAGTCATGATACCATCTGATAGAACTGGTTAAATCGGAGGTGCTGTTGACGGTGATTATCGACTTTAGTCAGATAAATTGCATCAAATGAATAGATTCTATTGGAGCATCTGCTATTCAATGATAATATCCCAATCAAGAGTCGTCGGACGTACACCAGTAGTATGATAGTTTGACTCACCGACTCAATGGAGAATGCTCCATGACTCATGGCTGCTCTTCGACTTCATCATATTGTTTAAAGCGGCTGTCATATGGAAGGCCTCCATCATGATCATGACAAGATTATGCTTGAGGTTAGTCACGACAAAGGTGTATAAAATCGGACAGCACTGCAGGCGACCATGACGTGACTGGGCAGAAATGATTGGAGTTGTCCAATGACGAAGTCTGTTCCTGACAGAATGAATTGGCATAAGCAGTACGACACTAGATTCTAGCAGGTACCAGATTCTACTTACGATGACACTACGCGAGCCTTGTGAAGCAAGATATGCGAAAGTCAGTGCAAGCTGAGAAGTCGAAAAAAGTCGGAAAAGTAGACAAAGCTGGAAAACTCGAGAAGTCGAAGAGCTGAAAGGACATAAAAGCCGCAAAGTCGAAAAAATTGTTTGATTTGGGCTGTTTGCCCTCAATAAGACAAGTATGTATTCCCGAGACCCGGACCTGGCCTTCATATGGCTGTGCGGCTGAATCTGTTGATAAGATCCGGTCTACATGTAATTTGGGTCTTTTGAAAACGTGGGGAACTCTTGGTTCAAATTTGTCACTTTACTAATTAAAGGCTCTTAGGTGTTGTGGTGCATGATCACTAATCGACTCGAATGAACAATTCATCAAGGGGCTTTGGATGGAGTCTATAAACTCTAAAAAATATTTTTGAAAGCTTAGATGACAACAAGCAAGTCTAGTCCATCGGGTAAGTTTTTCGAAGCTGGCGCCCCCATGACTCGGACTCCTATATTTTAACCTTTGTGCCCCAGAACGCTGCTTGCTTCCTAAAAAGTCGTGTCAGAACTGGTCCAACGGCAATGTCTCTATCTCCATTTTAAAATGTGACATCAAGACGGTGTAGTGTTGCCACCGAGCCTGAGGTATATTTCCGAATCGAGGTGGGAATTCTTATAAGTCCGAGTCAATGCAGTTCACCACTTAGTACCATGACTAGTAGCATTACAAGTTGCAACTTGTGACTCGGACTCGGACCCGGGGCATTGGTATGTGTCGACGATGTCAACCAAATCCCTTAGGGCTTTGAGTTTGAGTCTGTCTGACAATCCTTAGTAAGAATGCTAGTGATAATGACATGTAGCAATTGACGTTGTCAACATAATCCAGACATACTCAGGCAAGCCACGGCCAGATATTTATATCTGCTTCAAACAGTGAGTCCTCGTTCATACTTGGGTACAACATTGGATACGTATTTCATATTGTTCCGTACAACTTGAAGCATTTGATTGAAAAAGGTTTCCATAGTCCGTGCCGTGTTGAGAAAAGAAGAGGGATTGATGCAGCAGTAAATTGTTGCGCAGCAAGAGGATCAGAAGACAATGACCCGTCTCGCTCTCTAGAACTTGGAGTCCCTTTTCACGCTGGAAAATGAAGCAGATCAGCTGAAAACAAGACAGACTCGGACCTTTTACATATGTGGCAGAGGGCGCTGGGGACACCTTTCCCAAGGAATGGTCTAAGAATTACATAGACAGAATGAACGAGGAAACCAATTGGCAACACTTACTACAACTGGTTTCCATGCACAAATGAATGGATGGAAACTCGGATGTGGCAGCTTTCTCTGAGTCAGACTGGATTCAGAGGGACATAGCAGACTTGGTAAAAATCCAGACTAGACACCCTGATTCCATCAAGCTAGGGTGCATGCGTATTATGATATACTCACCTTTAAAATCCATACTAGTTAGACTCTACTGATGATCCGAGAAAGGGACACGAGCAATTCACCTCCCACTGTCTAACTCACGTTTAAGTGATGATTTTACTTTGCTGCTTCAAGCTTCAATTGATTATGGGATTGGATTTGTGTGATGCGTAATAGCGAAGGGCGATGATGCAGCTGGCCGCAGCAATACTGTGAGAGATGAGGTTCCTCAATATCTGTCTACATTACATAATCGTGCGCAATCATTGGGTCCGACTTATCCAAGTCCACGCTCAGGCCCATCATCAAAACTCGCTGGGCCTAGTAGCGTGGACTTTGTCCCCCCAAAAATAGCAAACCTTCGTTGAACAAGTCACTGTCTTAGACAAAGTAGCGTACTATTTGCACACCCTTCTTCATGTGTCTTGATACCACATAGGTACTACGAAGACGCCGCTTGGTGATCACTGTATGGATGGTCAATTCCTAAGTTCACTATGATACTAGTTTAACAGTTATTCTCTTGTTCATCTAGATTGCGTCATGGATTGACATTAAAGCCTCCCATTTTGGCCTCCCAAAACCTCCGAATCCTGGCCGAGTCTGACTCGGACTAGCACTGAGGGAGATATACTAGTACACCCCGCTATCAACCGCCTCAGATTGCAATTCTTGTGACTTAGGATTGTAGGGGCAAATGCGCATTGTATCAGTGCGACCCTCCCTCTCAACAATACCGTGACGCTCTCGAGGCACCTCCTGATAAAATTTTTGTCTCAACTCATCACTTCTCTTGGTTCTGCCCACCCCATGTTCAGTCGCGGTCACTATGAGTAATACCATCCAGGAGCTCACACTGACACAGTCTGGTCGGATTTTTGTCTTGGCGGACACGCCCATTACTCACCTTTGCTTCTTTTTTCCCGTTCAACCTTCGAGTTGTTCCTGCTCTACTGTGACTAGAACCTTAGGCTAATATCAGGTTAGGTCACCAACCTGATTGAACTCGCAAATTAATATAACTAGGTGAATGCTAGTGAAGCCCAGATTCGAAAGAGGTCTTAAACCTTTCCTTGTTCACTGTCAGCAACCTTCAAACTTCTGCTATAGGAGGTGTGCGTTTGAAAATATTTGTGACTTCATGTTGCTGGGTGGAAGAGTTTACACGAGCCCCACCACAGTAAACGCGGCGCTCTGATCAGGACGTCATTCCAACGTCTTGTGAAACAAATAATTGAATGAGCTACTGTCAGCACAAAACTACATATAGACATATGTAATAGTGGCCTGGGGTACCGCAAATATGTTATGAAATGATCATAAGGGCAAAACACAATACACTGGATCGATGATCACATTATTCCTCTAACTTGGATGCAAAGCCTGACTCACAGGCTGAGCGACCGTCATCAATCAAACTGTCAGATGAATCAGAGCTTTCACACCAAGCCTGGTCATGGCCGCTATGGTCAGACCTACATCACTTGTTTCCTATCACTGTCACTCCTCCGTCGTGAAGCATGTTTCTAAGGGAGCCAAATTGCAAATCAATGCTATTCATATGCTTTTGTGACACCTGTGTTTCGTCTTCGAGAGTGGACTTTATCAGATCTAGTTCGTGAGAGTGAATATGTTGGTATCGCATTCTTGCGGCAATGGCTCGACGAGTGATCCGGGAAAGCTCGAGCATACGCTGGTTGATGTAGTTTGAACTATCAGAATTGGACGTAGGAGTGTAGTTCCACTTTGAAATGAATTTTAGGATTGAGATTGGGATCTAGATTATGAGAAGTACTCACAGTTGTTTGTAAAATCTTGAATCTCTTCGTCGGTATGTTGCAATCCTCGTCATGGTCGCCGGCTTGAAATAACTTGAAGGCACACTGGAAGGAGCGCTTATGACGACCACAAACAATATTTCTTTGCATGGTTGCTGCTGAGCTACCCTCTTCAACTTGAGGGGCAAACGCGCTAGCAACAGTGGGAGAGCTACTAGGCTCAACCAAGGTGGGAGTCGAGGAGGGTTTGGCAAGTCGTCTGGAGTGCAAGATATGAGTGGATGTGCTGTGAACAACATATTGTTAAGTAGACAAACCGAGGAATACTGAGGGAAGACCAATTGCTGCACTTCAATGGTGATCGAGAATTACTCATTGTAAATTTGGTCTGACCAGTGACTCTGAACTCAGTCTGCGTTCCACTTTCCCCTCAAAGTTGACTTATACATTTTCCGAATCGGCAACACCCAAATTGATGATCGTTCAACATGGTGCCAACATGTTGGTACAGAGATTATTAAATATTAAGTGTTAATATTTCAATGTGCAAAGGACAGAATGACGCAAAAGATGCAATAAAGTTCAGGATAACTGCTGTAAGTGTCGATAACTACAATAACTGGCCCAATCAGGAAGGAATGTCTTGCCGCAAATTTTGATTGCTGATTACTAAGGCTACTACTAGTTCTGTCACTGACCTTCGAGTCTTTTTCAGCTCTGCCAGTCAGAGCAACTCAAATTCGAATTCAACGAACCTGACGCATCATTGCAGAAGGTGAACTTCCAAAATCTGAGAGCAGACTCAAAGTCGTCACTTACTGCAAGGCAAATTGACTCGGAATCGAATGGCAAATTGACACTGACAATTTGGCGCTTACTACAAGTTACCACGAGTTACCGCTGTTCGAAGTGTTCTGAAGTCATCGCTCAAATTAAGTCACAAATATGGCACCTGAACCTGTCATGGTACGAGCGTAGATGTGAGTATCTGATCATTGTATTCAAATCGAACAACTCTGAGTCCGAGTCAGCTTTGCAGCCCGGGCCTAACCTTATCGCTAGTCAACCATGACTTGCTGACATCAGAGTTGGAGTCCAACAGGCTTGTATAAACGTTCAAAGCTGCCGCACAAAATCTGAAAGACTCAGAGTCTTGACTTGACGGCCACCGTGACTGCCTCCAAGCCAGTTCAACTGGGGAGGAGCTGCATTTCGTCAGCACCTCCAAAGCACCACAAATGCGTATCGCAGGATATCCGAGTCGAAGTTCAAGTTGGATTATTGCCCTTTTCTCTGCTTTGTTTCTGTTAATGGTGTTGTGCGGTGCATCAGGTTGCTCTTGGGAGAGGGCAACAGACACTCGTGGACTCAACAGGCATCGTGCATCCTGTCTTTTATATAAGAAGTCTAGCGTTCATGCAACTCAGAAGAGACAGGAACACGTCAAAGATGCCGCATGGCTTGCAAATTTGCGGCCTCGTCACCACAGTGGCGACCTGTCTGCGAACACTTCACACGTAAGTTACAACTGTTATTGTTGGTAGTAGTAGTAACTCATGTAAACTTGAACATAAGGTAATGTGCCATCCGAGACCAATTGCCCCACGCCAATCGCATGCAACAAGACAAAGGCAAGGGTTCTACCGCCCACGTCCTTGATACTTCCAATCTTGCCGACTCACAACACTCCCTTGACCAAGAAATTCCACAAAATGATGTTGATGTCGAGATGGAAGATAGATCTGACTTTGGTCCATCTCTTTTAAATAGCAGTCATTTGCATTCCATTTCTGATCTCTCGACTCGTTCAGAGGAACTGGTGTAGAGACTCACATTTCTGCAGGCACATATGGGCACATTTCGCGCCTTTTCACAACTCATGACAATTGGCCTTCAATGCACAACTTGCACCATCAGCTATATTCGACTTCTATCATGTCTCTAGTTGTTTTACACATAACGCGCAGCTTTCCCGCGAAACGCGCCATAGGCGCGCTACTTTCCCACACAACGCGCAGCATTCCCCGCGCGCGCTTAGCGCATTTCTCTCGCACTTGTCGCCCTACTCCATACACAACTTCTGCTATGTCTCCAGTCATTTGCGCATACAATGCACAGCTCTCCTGCAAAGCGCACCATAGGCGCAACACTTTCTCACGCTTTCGCGTTTCGCGTTCCCGCGTGCGCGCTTAGCGCGTTTCTCACGCTTAAGCGCACTCCATCGCGCATCATCCAGGAGCATCCATCCATCATCCAACCAGTTCCTAGGTGTGTCCCTTTTCGTTATCAGACCATATTTAGCCTATTACACTTTGTATTTCGTTATGCACCCTTACTTTACATCACTTTACCTCACTTACATACTTAGAGCGCTCCCTATTCGGCTCCGAGCCCTGGGAGAGCGCTTAGGTAGAACTTACATACTTTCATGTTCGTTTTACACCACAGCTTCCTACCACATCTTTCTACCACCATGTACTTGGCAGTTAGTTCCATGCAATGCATGCGTCCGTCGTCGTCTTAAGGCCCTAGCATCAGTCTAAAGCTAGTGGCAGTATCAGTAACTATCTATATCCGCACATTACACCATATTATCATCTCTCTACACTTGTCCACTGCTCGCACTACCATCCCTGTTCTCTGCGCATTTTCGCATTTTCGCATTTTCGCCTTTGTCGCCTTCCCACGCTTCGCGCATTTTCGCGTTTCACTTTCCTGTGCGCGCCTTGAGCGCGTTTCTCGCGCTTACATCGCCCTTTTGTCACCTTGGATCAGGGTTGATCAGCATCATTTCATGGATCCTTGCTTTCTTTGCTTCCCTTAAGGGTCGAACATATCGCACGGCATATGTATCAAGACCCAACATAGAGAGTGTTTGCTTGTCATCTGACTTGCAGTCACCTTTGTTGTGTTACCCACAACGGGTAGGGGGGGAATGGCAACTCCGGGTTGATAGATTAGTTGACGCACGCGGCGTCACACGGCAGCCAGGTAACGTACATAAGTTCCTTCAACAATTTTAGTGTTGTAGCTAACAATGATTGTGACGAGCTGCCTCTCCGTCATTCTGAACACCACCTCCCGAGGTCTTGGTGTATGTTGAAGAAGATGTCAAGGTATCTGTAGAATGATGATTGGTGAGTGACCAATATCAGAAAATGAACGCACCTCGTAGTTTTGGTTTCCAAGTCCCTCCATTGGCATGGACATAGTTATTGTTATTCATGCTAGTGCTATGTAGATTGGTAGATATGAAATCAAATTGACAGTGAACACTTCGTTGTTGAGTGCTAGCTATTAGTGCGTCCAAGAGAAGATCTATTTACAACATGTCATCTGGCATTTGCCGGATCAACAGGGTGCTGCTTTGGACAGGATGATCCTGAGGAGTTGTTTGTTAAACAGGCTGTGTTCTCAAGATCTCAACCTCCATACGTGCCCTCTACACGCTGTCTTCTTACTTGAGGGTCTTATATGTTGATCAGAATACAATGACTATCACAATTGTATTCTTTAAGACTAAGGTGCCAGCTCCTCAAGTTCACGGTCAACAGATTTTCTACTTCTCGGTTGATAATGTGGTGTTTGTGGGTGGCCAAAGGGTAATAAATTATTTCTTTGCTAGATCACTTCTTGATAGTAAAGGAGTATATATATTTTGTGAGGTAAACTTAAACCTAGTAGGTAATATGGACCTCTCTGAACTGAATGTGGCACAAATATGTAAAACAATGTATAAAACGATAGATTATTGTATAGGCGCACCCTGTAAGATAGTATACAATCAATCTAGACTAGTGAATATGATTGTTTTCAAAGGCAACTCATAGGCCTTCACTTTCTTCGTGATCTCACAGTGTTGAGACAGAAAGTGGGAAAACTCCTGACTTCAAATTCCTATGTTCCCACACGGTTTGGGAAAAGAATGGAAGGGGAAAAACTTAATATATTATGTGAGAATGGAGTCCTTATATACATTTTAGAAACCATCCTTACTAAGCAATGAGTCATCAACTGGATTGGTAAGATTATGCTTACAAACCAAGCCTTTTGGTGTGCTGAATCAGCTGCTTACTAAAGTACATGAGTAAAATATTACAAAGCATGACGAATCATGACAAAACATGATGAGTCATGGAAAGTCCTTACAAATCAGAATATTACCAGTCACATGACATGCTTACAAACATATCTGAGTGGCTCACTGATGTAATCAAGTGGCTGAATAAACATAAACAAATAATGGAAAGAGACAGAAACTACAAATACAACTAAATAAATAGAAACAAAGTTTACATAAGTAAGAAGTATATCCTTTGTACACTCCTCTACTTATCCCCTTTTATACTGCTATTTGTATATGTCATGGTATGAACTCCATACATGCATGACAGTGCGCGCTCTCCAGACTGTGCCAGCTGAACGGGGAACGGGTGCGCCACATCACTTTCAATGTGACAAAGTACTCATCACTGCTCACAGGTGTCTTATTTGTCTTAACGAGCCAGAGTACACTGAGTGGAACTCACCAACATTTCCAAAGGTTTCACTGTCCCGGAATTAGTACTATCTTTTCCTCGGAGGTCCATCTTAACTAGGCCTATTGGTAGTCATTGCACCAAAACCTCCTTTGTATGAGATGATAGCCTGTCCATGAAAAGGAATTCACCTTCACACTTCACGAGGGCTGTCTCAGAAAGATAAGATACAAGATGCGTACTACGTGCCAACATAGATTTCGACAGACTGACCACACATTCAAGTTCGTCGAGCAGTACCTGGCTGCTGCAGCATGTGTAGACGTTTAACTTATTTGTGTTAGATATCAATGCACCCAACTTGTTATTAATGTACTTGCTACCAAGCCAAGTTAACTTTGCGATACCATCTAGGTGCGCTGTGTTGGAATGTTGATTTCATTGGTCTGCAATAAACAGCACTGACATTCCTTTAAAATGCCTCGGATAGCCTTTAAACCGAAACTACACTTAAGGTAGAATGAGAGTAAGCCTGCAAGTTGAGGCCGCTGGACTACTTCAAAGTGCCCTATCCATTGTCAATGTGATGTCGCCATACCTCATTCTTGTCTCTTAGTCACGTGGTCTGAACATTTGCTGGTCATTGCTAAAGCGGCTTTCCATTAAAATGGCTTGGATAGCCTTTGAACTGAAACTATATATAAGGTAGAATGAGAGTAGGCCTGCAAGTTGAGGCCACTGGACTACTTTGCCCTGTCCGTTGTGACGTCGCCACACCTCATTCTCGTCTCTTAGTCACGTGGTCTGAACATTTGCTGGTCATTGCTAAAGCAGCTTTCCGTTAAAATGGCTTGGATAGACTTTAAACTGAAACTATATATAAGGTAGAATGAGAGTAGGCCTGCAAGTTGAGGCCGCTGGACTACTTTGCCCTGTCCGTTGTGACGTCGCCACACTTCATTCTTGTCTCTTAGTCACGTGGTCTGAACATTTGCTGGTCATTGCTAAAGCGGCTTTCCGTTAAAATGCTTTAGATAGCCTTGAAAATGAAACTATATATAAGGTAAAATGAGAGTAGGCTTCCAAGTTGAGGCCACTGGACTACTGTGCCCTGTCCATTGTGATGTCACCATACCTCAACCTGGCCTCTTAGTCACGTGGCCTGAACATTTGCCGGTCATTACCGTGCGGAGCACGGTCACCTACAATGTTGCGTGACGTGCAGATTCAAAACAACACCAAACAAATCTGATCAGTTATGGTATCAAGGGCAATCCAACACACTCAGAAAAAAGGCGTCATAATGAAATCCGGAATATACCATTCTCACGGATTTCGTGACATATTAGGGTCTGAAATGCTGAGTGCGGTCCAATTATTTTCTTCCCTTTAACTCCTCGATGCTTCCACCTGGTTCCTACACATATCAAAAAGGTCAGTCGTTATCGCATAAGTACTAGACATCGCGACTCACCAATCACATTGCAAACAGAGCTGAGATTTCGTCCGCAGAGCCTTCAAAGCTTCATCCTCAACAAACATCATACACACTCCACGTCGTCGTACTAGATTTTCAATAAAAGCTATTTGAAGCTATCCATTGAACTATATATCCTTTCATCTCAATATCATGCATACCTCGTAAACGTCGACCATGAAGTGCATTGACTGTATTCGAAATGTCGATAGCTGATCCTAACTCAGCCATATGACTAATTGCATCCCCAATAAAAAGGCACTCGCTCCGCACGGTCACAAGTCGGCAACGCCGACCCCTAGTTGCCAAAGCGGTTTTCCGTTAAAATGCTTTAGATAGTCTTGGAACTGAACCATATATAAGACAAAATAAGAATGAGCTTGATGGGTGAGGGCACTGCACTACTGCGTATTGTCTACTATGATGTTGCTATATTTCAACCTTGTCATTAATGGGACTCAGAGTTGATTTCTAAACTCGCTAAAACATCGCTAAGACTTGGTAAGACTCGGTAAACTATCAGTAAAGTTTGAGAACAAACTCGGCCATAGATGGCCAGCACAGATTGGACTTCGAAACCATACTTGTGCATTTGCAAGTGATAATGTGAGTAGCGCGCATGATAAGGGACGTAGGAATATAGTAACTAGTCTGTCAGTCTCTACCTGCCCAAACAACAGAATTCCAGCAGGCTATATGTACTACGTGAGGAGGGGAACAATGAATAAGTACCGGGAACCAGACCCATCAGACAAGTGCATGAGTGAACAAAAAAACATGTGCTGTGGGGAGAGGGGAGGGGGGACTCATTAATAGTGGCCCATGTGCTTGGGGGAGTGGGATGAGGGCTGATGACAACAGAATGGGTCAAGCAACCGGTGGTGGGGAGCAGAGAGGGCCGTTGTCATCGGCATAAGGGTCATCATAGAGGTCACCATCTGGGTCATCAACTGGACTGCCCCCGGCGCCAGTGAAATGAGGAGGGGGGTGATGTGAAGGGGGAAGGTAAGCTGGGGGACTGCACTGAGCGCCAGTGTCAAGTTGTTTTGGCAGAGGGAGCCGAGGGGTTGGTTGAAGGAGGTGAGGGTTTGGTTTAAGGAGTCGAGGGTCCAGTTGAAGGAGTTGAGGGTCCTGTTGAAGGAGGCGAGGGTTTGGTTGAAGGAGGTGAGGGAATGGGGGAATGGGCCAAGCACCAGTAGCGTATGGGCTTGGGGGAGGGAGCTGGGTGCCAGCAGTAGTTTGATGGGTGGAGGAACCAGCCCCCCATGTCGATGAATAAGTGCATAGAAATCCACAGCGTGGCTGACTCCCGGCTGGGAGGTGAAAATTTTGGCGCTGCACGTTGCGTGAGTGATGGAGTTCATAGTGGTATTGGTGTTGTTGTTAGGGGAGTGAAAGTTGATGACGTTCGTGGTATTATTGGCGTTGTTGTTAGGAATGTTGATTTTCAGGGAGGTGATAGACTAAGGCACATTGGAACCAGTTGCCAGTGGTAGCATCCAGGGAGGGCAGCACAGCTGGGATGGTAGCTTGGTCGCTGTCATCTGCGACGAGTGAGACTTAGCACGCTGACCGTGGTAAAATTTGAAACTCCGATTGAAACTCCGCTTATCAATCGCACTGATCAGTTAGGGGGATGATAAGGGAACACATATCTCAATCTCAAGCCACATCATGCCTCGCCCATCCAGCCGTAAAGATCTCCTTCATGCAGTTGATAAAACTGCATTGTCATTAGCCCAACTCCAATATCAGCATGCATTGGAAGCTCAGGAATCAAGCTCTGATTCTAGCTCCAATTCCAACTCCAATTCCAACTCCAATTCCAACTCTGATTCAAGCATGGACATCACCTCTTCTCCCACCCTTTCCCCCAGCTCCTCCGGTGAATCTTCTGATGGATCTATGGATTCTGATGAGATCACTGCACGTTACGATCGGCTTCAGCACCAAATCGCAGCTCTTCGTGATGAGGTTGCAAGGGCTCGTGTCCTTAACAAGCCAGATGAGCCTCCCCCACGAGCTCCCCAGCTACACATGCTTGTCCATCACGAGAAACACTGCCCTTACTTATTTCGGCAAAAGCTACGTGTTGACCCTATCATTTTTGACGACATCCTCGATCAAATCTCTGATCATCATATCTTTTTCAACCGATCCAATAATCCCCAACTTCCCATTTCCATTCAGCTTGCTATTTTCCTTAATCGTGCCTGGCCACTATGGCAATGCGATTTCTCTTGAGGATGTTGCCCAATGGGCAGGTATAAGTGTTGGGTCAGTTGTGAATTGCACTAATCGTGTAATGATTGCACTGCTCGACCAGCATGACAAATTTGTTGGTTTCCCACATCCCGATTCAGAAGATGCTGAGCTTGCTCGGCAATTTGCAGAGTCCAAGACTTGTCCTGAGTGGCGCAATGGCATTCTAGCTATTGATGGCACAACAGTTGACCTCTATGCCAAACCTGCTCATTTTGGTGAGACATTCTATGATAGGAAATCTAACTATTCTCTTGGCTGCCAGGTATTTTTCCCCTCCCTTCATGATTAATAATTAAATTAATAATTAAATATTTTTAGGCAGTTGTTATGCCTCACAACCTTGTCATTGTCGATTATGCTCTTGGTCATCCCGGGAGTGTCCATGATGCCTATTCTTTCCGATCAACTCGTCTCTATCAACAGCATGAAACCCTTCTGCCAGATGACCATTGGGTTTGGGCTGACAGTGCATACCCACTTGAGAAGTGGTGCATAGTCCCTTTCAAGAAGCCCCGCAATGGAAGGTTGACCAAGGACCAGAAGACATTTAATTACAATCTTTCCACTGGTGTGCTCATATTTTTGTGATTTTTTGTGATGGTTTGGTTACTAATTTTTATTTTTATTTTTATTTTTATTTAGGTTCGTGTACGTGTTGAGCATGCATTTGCTGCTCTTAAGGGGCGGTTTCAATCCCTCCGAGAGCTTCGCCTCAATATTCACACCGAACTGAGAGCTTCAGATTGCTGTCCATTGGATTATGTGTTGCATCATCTTGCACAACATGATCATCCGATTTGAAGCTCACCACCGTGAGCAGAATCCAAAATTCCGCCGTTCTCAGAGGTGGGCTGAATGGGAGGCCAGAGAATTTGCAGCTAGAGAGATTGAGGATCCCGATGGTGATGAAGTTGTGGGTGACAGGTCTTATGAGGGTACTCCAGGGCAAGCTTCTCGTTTGAGGATGATGGATCAACTGTTTGACAGTCCTCACTCAAGAGCTGAACATAGGGAAGGGTAACTTGAAAGAACCAGGGTCACATTGGCAACCAGAAGGTACATGTACTACTACAAGAGATTCAACAAATGTATGTAAATGTTACTACTACAAGAGATTCAACAAATGTATGTAAAATGTATGTATCAAAATCAAGAAGCAAACTAACTACACCATGCTACAATTTACATGACAACAAGGACAAAAAAACAAGACAACAACAACACATACTCAAACTGATGGTGACGAGGTTGAGGGACCAGCACGGATCATGGTCTCGTATTGAATCTTCAGGCGCCAGGTCTCGGCCTCCTTTTCCTGCAAGGCAGCTGCAGCCTGAAGGCGCAAAATCTCCTTGTCCTTGGCCTCCTGCTCGCGTTGATGCGTGGTGGCCGAAAGGAGGACATCGTGCGAACGAGACTCGCAGCGCCACTGAAATTCCTTCTTCTGAGATTGATAATTCATCTTGATGGTGTAACGCTCGTTCCTCGATCCCTGGCGCTCGGACATGTCACTCTGCATGCTCCGAATTTCGTCGTTGAGCATGCTGAGGTGGCCCTCAACGTCCGTCGCCGAAGTCCTCTTCTTTTTCGAGCCGGCCGAGCTCTGCGGCTTTGCAGACAGTGATGTCTGGGATGCCGTCGGCGAAATGCGATAGTCGGTCGATTGATAGGACGAGGATGCTGTGGATGAGGGAGTGGAGCGGCTGCGGGATATCCCCGACGATGAAGCAAATGATGGAGGTCTACGTGGCGCTTGGCTGCCAGGTGAGGCAGAGCCAAACGCCATGCGACTATGGTATGCCGGTGTCTGGGGCTTCCGCGGGAGAACGAAGGCAGTTAGTTTGGACAGGAGGGGGAGAAGGAGAGGCTGCGTATTGCCGTTTGTGTCCCACCACTTTGGGGGGACTGCTGACGACACGACACCGGGAGGAGTTGTACTCCACCCCATCGTCGTCATCGTCGTCATCGTACATGTTGACGTCTCCGTCTAACACATCCAGCGCGTTCCCAAGGGGAGCAGAGAGAGGGCCGTTGTCATCGGCGTAAGGGTCATCATAGAGGTCACCATCTGGGTCATCAACTGGACTGCCCCCGGCGCCAGTGAAATGAGGAGGGGGGTGATGTGAAGGGGGAAGGTAAGCTGGGGGACTGCGCTGAGCGCCAGTGTCAAGTTGGTTTGGCAGAGGGAGCCGAGAGTCTTGGAGAGGGGGGCTGAGGGTTTGGGGGAGGGAGCTGAGGGTTTGGGGGAGGGAGCTGAGGGTTTGGGGGAAGGAGGTGAGGGGTCGGTTGAAGGAGGTGAGGGGTCGGTTGAAGGAGGTGAGGGGTCGGTTGAAGGAGGTGAGGGTCCGGTTGAAGGAGTCGAGGGTCCGGTTGAAGGAGTTGAGGGCCAGGAGGCTCTGTGTTCGTGGAGGGACCAGCCCCCCCACGTGGATGAATAAGTGCATAGAAGTCCCCGGCATGGTCGACTCCCGGCTGGGAGGTGAAAATTTTGGCGCCACACGTCGGGTTAGAAAACAGGATGGGGTGGAGTTGGTCGTACCATGGGAACTCGAGCAGTACTTGTTCTTAAAATAAAATAAAATAAAATAAGAAACAACGGTAAAAAAACAAACACTTACTGTGTAGATTAGCTGCTGCGTTTTCATCAAGGGGGGTGACGCCAGCACCGGTCTTGTTGAATTTGTTGAGTTGCTCCTTGAACGACTTCTTAAGACTTTGTAGAATTAAATAAGTAGCTACAGTCATCTGAGTGATAGAAACCACTTACGATACAATGCGGTTGCCCACCGCGACGTCAAATTTCTTTGGGTCCTCAGCATATGCCGCCGAATAATCCGAGTCCTTCTCAAAGATCAGTTTCGCCAAGAACCGATGGATTTCCCCTTTGTCCTTTCCAGAAGGACGCTCATCATTGTTAGAAGCAGCGGTTTTTTTCCCCTCGTAGAATAGTACGCGAGCATCTGCAGAATTAGTGGAAAGATGCCGCACCAGAGTGTCTGTGCGGTGGAGATCTGAAGGTTTGGTCCAATGGACGATTATCTTCGGTCCGGCAGGCCTAGGAGCCTGATTATGAGTGGGATTGGACCCACGTCCTCGAGCCTTCCCTCTTCCACGGGATGTGGATGGATGGGGGGGTAACTCCATCGCCTTTGGGCGACTTCGAGCGTCTGCTTGAAGCCTTGCAGAACGGCGGACACGTTGGCGGACAGCAGGCATTGGTATTCGAGCTCCGATACTTGATGCCGGCCGACTCCATCGTTGTTGGCTGTGCTAGAACGCTTAACCGGTTCTTTACCGAGCGCTTTAGCGAGTTTAGAAAACTACATTGATTCCCACTATTAACGCCTCTTCGAAGTGTAGATTTGCAGGGATCAATGGTCATTTATGAGCAACACAAATATATTCTAGAATACATGTAGATATTTGGCAAAAGCATAATTGTATCGGTCTATAGGTCTCATGACTACCATATCACGGACTCATGAGTTCACTGATGGTTACGCCTCAGGTGATGCCACCGCGAGGCTGAGAGAATTCACAATCTATACATAATTTCATGCAGAACCTGACATCACTTGCGACGAGTGGAACGTTCCTCATGTTAACCATTCGCGTGTGTGAAACTGGTTTGCAAATCAAAATCAACTTTATCGAACTGCTTCACATTTGCAATACTTACTTCGATCAATCAAGGATCTATATCTTCATCACCAAGAACACCTCGAAGATCGGTGTTGGCCCGAAGATCGGTGTTGGAAATGAGTTGCCAGAATCACCAACGTGTGGATCTTTCCTGTGCGTGATCTTGGTTTACCATACAAAATCAACTTTGATTCAATCGAGGACTTCCACTTTTTGCTCATTTCGCACCGCAATACTTCAACTAGTCAACGTCTTGAAGCAGGATCAAATATCCATCTCCATCATGTCCATTTTAGTGATACAAGCGCTGAATGGTGGTATATCTAGCACGAACACTAGATCGTTATAACCCCCAACATCCCCCACTCGCTCACACCCATCTCTCGAACATGACCATAGTCTCTACCGATCCCAGTTGGTGGCCGTTCATCAGTTCGAATATTTTTTTCAGCTATGGGATAATTTCGTCGTATCAGTTGGTGATATCTCGATCTAACATTGACTTGCGGTTTCGCAGTTGCCGCCGGCGTCGTGGTGGTATACGATTGGGGTGAGCAGGACTGTGTTCGAAAACCGCTCATGTTCTCATCAGATTTCCAGTCCTAATGCTCGGACAAGAGGTACGTCGGTGCTATTGCCGGAGTAGACAACCTGCTAAGAATGCTGTCATAGATTGAACAGATCTGGGTGAGTGACACAGTCCCATATCCGAGTCAAAAGAAAAACAGGTGGATACAATAAATTCGCGACAGAGGCAACGCTGGTCTCTCATGACTGTGATGTATTTGCTTGTTCGTACCTCATATTATCCTATAGCGTGGTTGGCAAGTTGTGCTGACTCCAAAATGTTCTAGATACGCTATATTGGAATACCATATTCTGTGTATGTGTTTGAGGCCAACAAGTTCGCACTGTACTAATGGCCCATCTCTCGTTGTCAGTATCAACGTTCTGGGTATGTCTCATATGCACTGTGTTCGATTCTTCTGACCGGCTGCACGCAGATGTTTCACCATCGGTCTCCGAGACAGATGCAGTGAGTATTCCAGAATCATCTCATTCCTATCCAATGAATACACTCATGCGTAGGGGTGAGTGAGATTCTCAACATTGAACTTGGCTCGACATAATGACTCAATAGGTGTGAGTCGCAGCGTTTGGTCCTACTACGAGGGTGATCACTAATCGGGTGTTTCAGGCAATATTATGTACTATGCAAGGAATGGGACAAATGTAGTCGTAACTGCCATGCTGGGTGGTGAGCTGCAATACCTCAGTGATATTGACTCGACTGAAACACGATGCAAGTCATCATGATTGCTCGCTTGCATGCCATGTATCAGAGATCTAGGAGGATGCTTATCTCCCTTGTCGTCATCTGCCTGGCTGTTAACATCGCCTGCGGAGTGCTCACAGCAATAGGACTCAAGAATTTTGTAGGGGGTAAGCTTTACTTGTCGACTTGAAAAACGCCGCTCATTGGACAACTACCAGAGGAGCTGATACTCTCTGGAACGTCTATGTGCGGCTTTGGATATGTGGGGGATGTCCTGCCTCTGATTTCAATCACTTGGATGCTCAACACTGTTTGGGAGGTCCTTGCACTGTGTCTTTCAGTCTGGATTGCTGTGAAACACTTCCGTGAGATGCGACGACTCGGCCCATCGACAGGATCGACCATAGGGGACTGTTTTAGAGTCCTGATAAAATCTCACGTGCTTTATTTTGCAAGGTGAGCTTGTAATGTAAATGTGTTCGTCTTTTTCAGCTCAAGTTCCACATGTGCTAGCTTTGTTTGCGTCTCTTGCCTCGAGTTAGTTCTTAATCTCTCTCCAGACCTTGATGGTGCGCCGACCTGTCGCCAAGATCTGCTTGTAACCACTGCTCATCATTTCTGTAGAATTCAAATTCTACGGGAGATCAGATACTCGGTGGTGCTATTGAAATTTTATCGAGCGTGCAGTTCTTTGTGCTGGGACCACGCCTTATCCTTAGCGTTCGAGAGTATCACGCTAAGCTCGTGGCCGAATCCGATGCAGAAACTAGTATGAATTCGATTGTTTTCCAGGAGCATGTACAAATATCAACTAGCAGTACTGTATAGGGAAATGCTTGCCGAGTGTTCTGCAGGGAGGAGAAATGTGGCCCAGGATCTGTCGTGGTATTTATTTAAGTTATGCTGTTTCAAAGTATATTTAAGACGAGACTTGTGTAGACAAACTCATTTCTTGTTGATCACTACTGGAAGTTGGTGAACTGCCCGCCCTCACTTGCACCAAGTGGCAAGCTCAAATTATCCGCCGGAACGTCTAGCAACCAACCCAGTCTTTGATGCCCAGACAGCTGATTCTACGTGTTTGCGGAGTTCTGCTGTCTGAGCACACACATGATGAAAAAGTGACCGAGAGGCATGAACCCCAGATGGCTGTAACTCATTCGTGCTGAGAGGTGCTTCCATCTATCTGGGCCACGGCGAAGGAACAGGAATGAATCGCGCGGACTTGTGGTTCGACTGTACGCCTCTATCACGAATGAGCATGGCAAAGAGATGAGGTGTGCTGAGCGGGGAGTAGAAAATTAGAGAATCGGGGCTCACTATTAATGAGACATCGACCACGATATTCTGAAATTGCATCTATACATACGTTGATCGGACCCGCGCCATCGCAAATTTTCGCCCAAGCGACTGCAAATTGTGCGTCGGGTTTGCGTCCTTGCGATGATCTGTTGGAGCCCATCCTGCCGCAAAGCACGACCGTCAAAGTGAAGCACCGATCGAGATACATACATACGTATATCCATCATTTGGACCGAATAAATGGAAAGCAAGTGGGCTGGCAAGTAGAAGTAGTGTATCTGAGCTGAGACAGCTGATAGCCCAAGGTTCCGCAGCATAATCAGACTCGGAGTCCGAGTCGGACTCTCGCCTTCACTCGTGGACTGTCCAGGCAGAGCGTCCTTGCCATTCAAGGGTATTTCGCGCGACCAAGGTATTTGGACCCTTTTATCCGTTTTATTTATCCAGCTCCACAAGTAAGTAGAGGAGAAAAAACTGAAATCTGTTCTATCGATACGAAAGTAGTTGTAAGCTTTGAAGCTCAAGCAAGCCTGGTCCGCCGGACACTACAAGGAAATACAGAATCACGTGACATGCGCGTCCCGCATTATTTCAATTTGACTTAGTTTCTGTTTCTCTAGCTCGAATAGACCGTGAATCTCGGATGCAGTGGAGATGGTAGGCATCACATTTCAGTCCAAATATAGGATAACTGACAGGTTTTGCCCAGACGGAGACGGACAGACTCGCGCGCAGCCGCAGCCGGAAATTCCGACCAATCAAGGATCGTGGGGCGGGATCAAATATCCATCTCCATCATGCCTATGCTTGGCGATGCAAGCGCTGAATGGTGGTATATCTAGCACGCACACTAGATCGTTATACGCCCCCAACATCCCCACTCACTCGCATCCATCTCTCGAATATGACCATAGAATCAAATGATCCCAGTTGGTGGCCAATAATCAGTTCGCATGTTTTTTCCAGCTATTGGATAGGTTCGTCGCATCAATCGGTGATGTCTCGATCTAACATTGACTTGCGGTTTCGCAGTTGCTGCTGTCGTCGTGGTGGTATACGATTGGAGTGAGCAGGACAGTGTTCGAAAACCGCTGATATTCTCATCATATTTCTAGTACTAACACTCGGACAAGAGGTAGGTCAGTGCTATTGCCGGAGCAGCCAACTTACTAAGAATCACAGATTGAACTGATCTGGGTGAGTGGCAGAGTCCTGTATCAGAAGGAAAATGAGAGAATACAACGATTTGCGATAGAGGCAACGCTGGTCCCTCATTACTGTGCTGTACATTGTTGTTCGTACCTCATGTTATGCTATAGCGTGGTTAGCGATTGTGCTAACTCCAAAACGTTCTAGATACGCTGCATTGGAATACTGTATTCTGTGTACGTGTGCGAGGCCAACAAACTGTCGCTGTGCTAATAGCTTATCTCTGACAATTAGTGCCAATATTCTGGGTATGTCTCATGCGCTGTGTGAGATTCTTCTGACCGGCGGCACACAGAAAATATGTCATTGGTCTCGCTAACAGATGCAGTGAATATTCCGCAACCATCTCATTCCTATGCAATGGATATACTCATGTGTAGGAGTAAGTGAGATTCTGAACATTGAATGTAGTTCAACATAATGACCCAATAGGTGTGAGTTGGAGCGTTTGATACTAGTACGAGGTGATCACTGATTGGGTGTTTCAGGCAATATCGTGTACTACGCAATAAGTGGGACATGTGTGGTCGTAACTGCCATGCTGGGTGGTGAGTTGCAATACCTCAGTGATATTGACACGACTGAAATACGATGCAAGTCATCATGATTGTTCGGTTGCATGCCATGTATCGGAGATCTAGGATCATGCTTATCTTCCTTGTGATTATCTTCTTCGCCGTTAACATCGCCTGCGGAGTGATCACGGCAATAGCTCTGAAGCATTCGGTGGGGGGTAAGCTTTACTTGTTGACTTGAAGAACACAGCTCATTGGACGAACAACAGTGGGGCTGATACTCTCCGGCACATATATGTGCGCTTTTGAAGATGAGGGGGATGTCCGGCTTTTGACTTCAATGGTTTGGATGTTCAACATTGTTTGGGAGGTCCTCGTTCTGTGTCTTTCAGTCTGGATTGCTATGAAACATTTCCGTCACCTGCGACGACTCGGCTCATCAAAAGGATCGACCATAGGGGACTGTTTCAGAGTGCTGATAAAATCTCACGTGCTTTATTTTGCAAGGTGAGCTTGCAATGTGAATGTACTTGTCTTTCTACTCAAATCCCACACGTGCTAGCTTTCTTTGTGTCTCCTGCCTCCAGCTCGTTTATCTCTCTCCATCGCGCTTGGTACGCTGACCTGTCTGACATCTACTTGTGACAACTGCTCATGATTTCTGTAGAATTCAAATTCTATGGGAGCTCAGATACCGGATGGTGTTTCTGAAATTTTATTTGGTGTGCAGACGTTTGTGTTGGGACCACGCCTCATCCTTAGCGTTCGAGAATATCACGCAAAACTTGTGACCGGATCCCACGCAGAAACTAGAATGAGTTCGATTGTCTTCCAGGAGCGTGTACATGTACCAACTAGCAGTACTGTGTAGGGAAATGCTTGTCGGGTGTTCTGGATGGAGGAGATATTTGGTCGAGGATCCGTCGTGGTATTTATTCAAGTCATGATGTTTCAAAGTATATTTGAGACGAGGGTTATGTCGAGAAACCCATTTCTTGTTGTATCACTCCTGGAAGTCAGCCCCCACTTGCACCAAGTGGCAAGCTCAAATTATCTGCAACGTCTAGCAACCAACCCAGTCCTTGATGGTAAGACAACTTATTCTACGTGTTTGCGGAGTTCTGCTGTCTGAGCACACAGATGATGAAAAAGTGACCGTGAAGCGTGAACCCCGAATGGCTGTAACTCATTGGTGCTCAGATGCCTTTTCATCCATCTGGGCCACAGAGAAGGAGCAGGAATGAATCGCGCGGACTCGTGGTTCGCCTGTATGCCCATATTGCAAACGAGTGTGGAAAATAGATGAGGTGTGCAGAACGAAGAGTAGAGAATTAGAGGATCGGAGCTAACTATTAATGACATCGACCACGATATTCTGAAATTGCATCCATACACACGTTGATCGGATCCGCGCCATGATAGTGTTTCACCAAAGCGACTGCAAATTGTGCGTCGGGTTCGTATCCTTGCATTGATCTGTTGGAGCCCATCCTGCTAAGCATGACTGTCAGAGTAAAGTACCGATCGAGATACATACATGTATCTACCATCTGGACCGAATGAATGGAAGGGCTGGAAAGTAGAAGTAGCATGTCTGAGCTCAGACAGGTGATAGCCCTAGGATTCTGCAGCATAATCGGTCTCTCGCCTTCAATCGCAGGACTGTCCAGGCAGAACGCCCTTCTGCGCCCTTGCCATTCAAGGGTGTTTCATTTTCGCCCGACGAAGGTATCGGAACCCTATTGTTCAGCTCTACAATTAAATAGAAGCAGTAAGAGGGGTCTATCGATATGAGAAGAGCTGAAAGCTTTCAAGCGGAGGTAGAACTCCAACCTGAGGGTCCGGAGGTGTTTTTCTCTTGCCACTTTGAACAGAGCAATAATCCGGTAACTCAAAAAATGCCGGTTTATTCCGCGTAGTACATACAAAGTTCAAGTTCAACTTGATGCTGACTCTCAGAGACTGACAGCTACTGAAGCACTCTAAGTGTTATAGAACCTATAACACACAATGGTCTCCGTAAACGTATCTGCAGCGGGGAAGCCAATTGCTCTGGCTCGTGGCCTCCCCATGGTCGTGGAACTTTCAGGGAAGCAACTCGAGGACGCGACTATTGCAGATGTCAAGAGTGCGATAGCTAAAAAATTTCCGCGAGTAAGTCTTTTCCTGTCCACACAGCCGGACGTCTAAAATCATTTTCAAGTTCTACTTGGACCGCCAAAAAATTACCCTCAAAGATTCCAAGAATATTCTAGCTGATGACGTTACGTTGAAGGTTGCTGGTGTGGCAGAAGGCGGGGAGTTGTCTGTGAAAGACCTCGGCCCGCAAATTAGCTGGAAAACTGTATTCTTGGTTGAATATGTGAGTGCCATGTATGATTCGTAGTTGCAAGCTACTACCGTGCCATCCCCAGGCTGGCCCACTGTTCATCCACCCTGCGATCTATTACTTCCCCAAGATATTTTATGGTGGTCCTGTGCAGCACAGCATGCTTCAACGGTATTTGCATGCATGACTTCCTGGTTTAAATGGTGTGCTCAAGCGTGATCAGCTATGTATTAGCATTTGTCATGCTGCACTTCGCCAAACGTGAGCTAGAAACGCTGTTCGTGCATCGTTTTTCGCATGCGACTATGCCCTTCATGAATATCTTCAAGAAGTATGCGTTTTGAGAAACATGCTGCTTTGGTAGACTGACATGTTTGTTAGCTCTGCTCATTATCACCTTGGAAGTGGTATGTTTATGTGTATTGGGAGACAGCAATCAAGCTGACTCCATATAAGGTCTTGCCCTTGCGTACAGTATTTACAGTCCTGTGTATGGTGCTGCCTCGCCCTACATTCGTGGCACAGTTCGCAATGATCCTCTGTACATTCAAGCAGGTGCTGCTATCTGGCTGGTGTGTCCCGGTATTTCGACATGCATTGCAACGCTTACTGAATGCCCGCCTGCTTGCAGTTCTCCGAAATCTCCAATCTCATCACTCACATCAAGCTCCGTAAGCTCCGGCCTGCAGGAAGCCGTAAACGCGCCATTCCCAAAGGATACGGCTTCAACCTCGTCTCGTTCCCGAACTACTTCTTCGAATTCCTTGGATGGTTGGTCATTGCGGCTCTCACAGGAAGCTACGTTGGTACGTGCTGCTTTCTGTTTTTTTTTGTGTTTCTGTTTTGAAGTCATGGTCCGCGGACTAGCATGGATCTTCCTGGTCATTTCGACGTATCAGATGTATGTCTGGGCTATTAAGAAGCACCGTGCATATAGGAAAGACTTCGGGAGCGATTACCCAAGGGATAGGAAGGCGATGTTCCCTTTCATTGCGTAAGTGGTGTGTGGCGTATCTCAGCAGCATGCCATTATACATATGCGCTATATCCGAGGATGATTGCTCTCATGTCTACGGGAACCACTATAGTTCCCTGCGTGTTCTTCCCTTCTGCCTCACAGTCTGAAAGTAACACGCGTTTAATAATCATTGATCATGTATGCACGATCGCAAACCCTTTGTGAACAGCTTACCACTCATGACTGGGAGAATTGTCCGTTCGGTTCGTTTGTAAGTGCTCTTAGGTCGGTTTCATCTGTTATAGTGACTCATTTCTTATCGATCTACAGGAAGCCTATGACCTCCTTATCATGAGGGACTTACACCGACCTAGAAGATGGGCTCAGAAGCACACCAGTCCTTTCGTGACTCGCTCACAAATGTCGATACTGATCTTCTAGATTTCTTTGCGTAAGGTTACTTGCAGAATCGTTTTAGAAAATGTACATAAAGCTCCTTTCATGCGCACAGGATAATCAAGGAATCGCCGCAAACACCCAGCGGCTCACAGCGATCGTTCAAAAACGAGTGTACGTTCAAACAGCTCTACCTCGATCCTCTTTTTTGGGACTGGGCAACCCAGCAAATGCTCCTCAAAGCTCCTTTTTCCTGCGAACGTCACACCGCATCGCCGGCACGGATATGTTACGCCGAGATGTATGTCTTGAATGTGCTTGACAATGGCGCACTTCTCCATGTGTTGTGCGCAGCCATCCCACCAGCATGTCAGGGTGGTGTCGTCAGGCACCCGGCACCCATGAACGCTACAGAGGTGCAAGGATAGCGCGTCACCTTTGAGGACGTCGCGGCAGCGCACTCCGTCGCCTCTGTCCCAGAGGCAAATGATTTTGTCCTTCAACAGAGTTGGTGGGGATGGTGCCTTGTGAAAAGATGAGCAACGTTGATCTGGATCGCAAGAAATGTGGACTTACCAACCCGATGGTGTACTCGATGGTCATGATGCGTGCGGTTCGGGAATTAATGTCAGAGCGAACTGTGGTGGCCTTTTGAAAGCGCGATGTCAGTGCATCCCGACACTGCACCTCTTATTAGAAACGATAACATCTGAGTCAGGGAAAAACGCAAAAGGCAGGCTGTCAAGAAGCTCTGGTTTGCAAGTAGGACATGTTGCTTAGATTGTACATAACCCATTGTCTCAGTGTCAAAGTGAAACACCAGAGCTTTGAAATTACATAGTCCAGACTCCAGGCTTAATTACAGCTTTGTCACTTTCCTAATCTAGCATGGCCATCTGTATCACTTGCACACACCCCATATCGCACCTCTACACGGTTTACGAATCCGCGTACAACCTGAGACTTGAACAATGCGTTGGTGCACGGTGTCACTCATTTTTGTTTAATTCTAACACGAGAGTTACTGGCAGAGCAAGTGCCTGAAATTTGCAGATCCATATGTCGAACACGACTCTCTGACGCTCCTCTTGGACCTTATTCTGCTGAAGCGGGAAGTGTATAGACATCTGATATATAATAGAGGGACGGAGCCGCGAAAGGCACTCGGGAAGAGCAAGACTGGTCTCGAGGGCAGTCAGGAAGGTACGGACAAACTGGCTGCTACCAAAAACCGACAAAGGGAGAAAGTGAGGGATTGCTAAGTCTGTCGATGATACCGTTGCTGAGTACCCGGCTTGTAGGACAGGTGGTGGCTTATTTTGAAGCTTGCCTGCGGGCTTATCACCGTCGATGCATGTACGTGAAGTTATTAGCCACGAGTCCCACTGCACCCTGGCTCATTTACCTTAGTTATCCGGTGGGCACAGCTCAGTAAGCTTTATTTTTTGTTCAAAGGCTATCGCGTTCTTATAGACATTAGATCCTCAGATATCCGCAGACGTTTCACGGTGGACGGTTGAAACCAACATTGTCTTCCTCCGGATCCTCATTGGATGCCTTATAGGTGCCTTGCTTGCTTTTCTCATTCGAGTGTTATGCTTACAGCTTGTGCAGAAACATTTGCATTTCATGGAGGAGTGATGTTTGCATCGTATTTTGTACTCGCATTCTCGGATTTTTTTCGTTCGAGGAGAAGTACCTCGCCAGCAGAAATATCAGGTGTTCGACAACAGTTCAAGTGAGCTTCAGAATCTGCTGTAGTTATTGATACCTCAATTGCAAGCCTAGGTTCTCACTCGTCCCTCTGACAATTTTCTACTCTTCCCTCACAAAACTTTTCCTTCTCTTCTTGCTCACGATATGGCGCCCTTCCGCATCTAAACCTGGAGGTTCTCCATACTATTGGGATCCTTCATACTACAGCAGCTCTTTTGTCACACGTGCCCTCGAAATATGGGATGAGGACAAACTAGATCGTGAGTGGGTCGTTAGGAATGTTTTGGGTGGAATGGCGACTGGATTTGGACTTCGGGGTTTGTAATGGTCTATATTTCTTACAATTCGCACTTGACTGAACAATTCCCTCGCAGTTGTGCTCGACTGTCATCCTGTCTTTACGACAATGGTGATCCTTGTTGGGTGGTTAGCGAAAACAGTTGTTGCGGGATTTCTCAAGAATTGGGTGGGTGGAGACGAGCATAGTGGTGACCAATGGATGGCATATAGTATCCCGTAGTCTCCCATAGTCCACTGTTTCTCTTGTATAGATTTGATTTGGATCATGTCTAGAGCAGGTTGGAGTAAGCCGAGCAGGACCCCTGACACCAACATTGGAACATATGCAATCCAACTGAAATGCATACCCATACTCTTCACCACTAACCACAGCGATGCCTGCAACATCCAGTTCATCTTCTCGCGCCCTGAACGCGATCCTACCACTCGTCGCGTCTGGGCAGCCCTACGAAGCGCACCAGAAAGCGCGCACCTTCGCTTCACGGTACAGCAAGTCTGGGCAGTACGACACTGCCATCGACGTGCTCTTCCAGAGTGCGAGAGAACTCCTGAAAGTTGGCCAGCAGGGTAGTGGAACAGATTTGACGTTGTTCCTCTTAGAAGTATATGAAAGCAAGGACGAGGTCGTTGATGATGAGTCTCGAGGTGTGTGCTCCTGATCCCCGCGGAATACGTTACTGATTCGATATGCTCAGGGAGACTAACGCAACTCATCGCACTGACTGGATCATCCGGGTCATGGAGGAAAACGATCATTGACAGATCCATATCGTACAGTTGTCCTCATATCGGATCGAGACTAGGGCTGATCATCATCATACGTTTAGATGGTCAGCAAGACATGGTGAATGTCCCGCAGGTGACCAGGACTTGCACCACTATGTCGGAGAGCTCCTATACAAAGGTATATATATGACAGCATCTACAAAAGTGACCGTCGTGCTCACGATGAATAGATGGGGCCTTCGATGCGGCAGAACCTCACTTCCTCGCATCAGGCAAAAGGGATAGCGCACGTTCACTAGCGAATATGATGGTAGAATGGTCCGCAGCAGGCGGAGCTCCAGGGATCTTTGCTCTTCGAGGCACACTACCGTAAGTCGGGACTCACGTCCATATTATTTCCTTCGTTCTCCGACTCATGGCATCCCATCACAGATATCTACAAAATGGCAACATCATCGGAGCTCGCACCTTCATTTCGCAGTTTATTGCACAATTGATTTCATCTCGACCGAATCTGGTTTCACCACTACAGACATCTCCATTACCTGTTACCCCTACGAGTGAAATCACACATACGACTGAGCCTGTGCTCAACTTCTGTCAGCTTGCTGTCTTGACATGTCAACGTGCGAATGGGGAGAAGAATAAAGTGATGCGTGAGAGCTGGGTAAGGCTTTGCGGAACATACCAAGCCAAAGGTGGCGTCTTAGCGACCAAGGAAGTTCGGGTGGTAAGTCAAATGCTTATTGCCTTCTTGATTTTCTCAAAACAAACCCCATCGTTTAGACACTACAGGAGATAGCGACGTTGTACTTTGCAATTCCTCCGCCACGCACTCAGCCTGATAATCCATTGGGAGCTATGATCTCCTCTATGCTGGGCGGTGGGATGCCGGGAGGAGGGGCGCCTCCGCGGCGGATGCTGTCTCCCGCTGTGAGCGGACCATCAGCACCAGGGCTAGATTAGTCTCCATTCAAAATTTTTTGATTGGATGTAGTTTGGGCATCAGCGGGACGGACATAAGATGGTAAGATAATCGAAAGTGACATGCTATTGGGTATCTTCGAGGTATCAAAATGCAATATTCGTCGTACATATTTTACTTTACATACACAATCACTCTTTGCTAGACGTGTTCTGCACATGCCCTTTTCGTTATCCGTTCCAACATGTTTCTTTTATTCTGGCATCCTCAGAACGAATTCTCCCTCGGTCTCTCGATCCGAAGACTGAGGTGAGTATGCGCAGTTACGGATACATGATATTTTCATTCTAACTACCTACATAGAAAGTTCTCCTTTCGTTTCTAGTCCGAGCCTCTCTTCGTTTGAGACGAGGCCAGCGGAAGCAATATTCAATGATCCTGACCGAGTGATAGTCTCTTATAGCTAGCCTAACGCATGCATATGAGAGTTGGCATGTCTGATCTATCGTACATGACGTGGACGTATCGATCATATTTTGACCACACGTTATTAGCGAGGGTGAATTAGGGTAAATGGGTTGCAAGTAGTACCGAAGTGATATTGAGGATACACTGTCTTCGTAAGCGGAGTACAACAATTCTCATGGCTAGTTAAACAATCAAAATTTTCGGCATGTGCGATGAAGAAAGGCACGGCACACAATTTCATGGTGCCCGCAATACAGACTCCAGAGGGATGCTCTTGAAGTAAGAACCTTCTAACTCCAAATTCCCTGAGTTCAACACATTCACTCGTCCCTTCCTCTCTTCCCCTTCGAAGCCTCTCTCCACCGAGCCTTCCACTCCCTCGTCAGCGCACCTTTTTGAGCCTCCCACTGGGAGTGAATTTCGGAGGTAGTTTGGGTGCGGGAGAAGGGCTCCTCGTTCTTGTCTTTCTCTTTGCCCCCGTGAGGGAAGAGGGAAAATATATCTCGAGGTGTATTTCTTGTGTTGGAGGAACGCGAACGGAGGGTTGGTGGGAGAGGGAAAAAGAAGGGGAAACTCGAGTCCAGTGTTGGGTGCGCTTGTGGCTGCTCATGAGGAGCGGAGGTTACGTGAGGAGGTAGCGCGTGATGTGGTTGGCTGGGGTGGGGAAGGTCTGAAATCCCGAGCATGTCTTCCTCTTCAAAGCCCAGGTCAAGATGACCGAGTAATGAGAATCCGGCTGCAGCGGGTCGCGGTCAGTGAAGATCAACCGGAATATAAATGGGGACATTAGAAGGGAAAACACAAAAACAAGTGTAGCAACTGAACGAAATGTATACAATGAAACAAAAACACACCTTCCTCCTCCCTCGGTGCGAACAGATCTTTCAGGTTTGTTTGCTTCTGATCCTGAGCGGACGGCTTTGACGTAGATGTAGGGCGAGATTGCGAGTTGAGCGGAGATACTGTTGTATCTGATCCCATATTTATATCCTTGTATTTCGCATGTGGAACTTCCTCGATCTCGATATCGCCCTCGTCCACATTAATCCGTGTTCCAGTCTGAGGCTCTCTCGCCTTACCTTTACTCCCAAGACGCGCATCTTCAATATCAGACAAGCTCTCCTGTCCACCCCATCCTTCGTCCCCGTCCCCAAAAAGGGAGCGAAGGAATGCGAGAGAGGTGTGCTTTTCTTGCGTGAGGGAGGGGATTGCTTCAGTCACAGCTTCAGTTTCGGGTGAACGAGCGGTGGGAAAGGATAGCAGTTCTGGTGGTGGGAGGGGAGAAACAGTAGATTTTGGGACCGGCGGCGATGAAGACTCGTGGTCATCATCTTCATCATCACTAGGTGCACTCTCGGTGTCTTGTTCATTGTCACTATTCTCGGGCGCCTCAGCACGTCTTTTTCTCGGGATTACAGCCCCCCCGGCGTGGTCTGCAAGATCCACCGCGCCGGCTACCTCAGCATCCAACCAGATACCCTTCAGATGTGTTGAGTCCCAGCGCGTTGGATCGATCGTCCGACGGCGTGTGCGCGTGGGGGGAAGTTTGACGCGTTTTTTGCGTTTCCCGGTCACAAGTTTCCCATCCTTGTCGTACTTGTTCCCTGCACTGGTAAGTACCCGGGGCGGCTCCAACGGTTTTTCAGGCCTCATCCGCATGATTCTCACCACACGTCCCATCTCGGTGACTCTCCATCCCCCTCGGGTATGTGCTGTCTCGGGCGTGACGAGTGACATATCAGGCGCATGGGTGCCTACCTTGGAATTTGCACGCCGTTTTTTGTGTGGTGGAGAGGGAACGGAGGCAAGTCTGTTGTTTTCGGGGCTCAGTGGGAAGTGAGTGAGTTAGAGTGAAGACGTGCCGTTCACGAAAATCAGGTTTTGCATCTCCAATACGGAGTTTGGCGCCTTTCCATACTGTTCCACTGAGCACATTTACGCCTGACCAATTTCAGCCATAAAATTTACAAAAAGAAAAAGAAAACTTACACCTCGCCAAGTCTGTTTTGTGACCTTCGATCGTCGCATAGCCGAAAGGCCTCGGTTGGCCTAGTGCATCGAGTTTTCCAAAGCCGTCGAGCGAGATTACTCTTCCAAAGGCGCCGAGTCGCTTTGCAAGGTCAGCGGGTGTGATGGCGGGTGTTGTGAGACCAGATATGTGCAGGCGTTTTGTTATGGTTTCGGTGGACATGATAATAGCATTACAAAAGCCACTACTGTAGAATTACGTACACCTTTCATCAGCAGCTTACTTCAAAAATCCTTGGCAAAAACACTCCAGTACTTTCAAGCGTTAGCAAACAATTTCATGCTGATAAGTTTCTCCTATATTGACTGTTGACGGACTTGGTACTAGTATCACTCTTGCTTCTTGGTACTATACAGCGATTCACCATCGCCACACAGCCACCGTATTAGTAACGTGTGCTCATATGTTTTACTCAGCGTTTGTTTTTGGCACTCCGAATCGCTGAGGTATGTTTATTCTTGCACTCGTACCTAGACTCGTACTAATGTAGACTAGACTTACTTGTTTCGTTGTTCTAGGTACACCAATCGATAGCATTTGTTCTCACTTACTGAAACTTACTCGTCTCGTTGTTCTAGCCCATCACCCTTGTGGTCTTGGAAATCACTGGTACCCTCCAAAACATCGTACGTTGCATCAAATTGCCCAGTTTTATAGTCATGTCTGAGAGTCAAGAAGAAGGATAAAATTGTGCCGTCCATGGTTTTGGACAAGAGACCTCCGTCGGCTTTCTCAATCTGGCCCGGGCGCTTGCCAACTGAAGTCCTATGCTATATTTTCGATTACTGTCTCCCGGACACCAAGTACTTGTCGCCCACACCAGATATGGCTCCCATCCTACTGACCAGGGTATGCCGACGATGGAGGGAGGTTGCTGTGGATATGCCAAGTTTATGGTGCAGACTGTCTCTCAAAGTCTTTCTCAAAGACTGGCAGCGGAACGCTTTCTGCTATGACACATGGCTCAAGCGATCACGAGGACTTCCGCTCTCGTTGGCGCTTCAGTGGCAGGGACATGTCTCAACCGAACTACAAAACCTTCTTCAACCATACCTCAAGCAAGTCTTGTCTCTCTCTATCTTATCTTTGGAAAACGCCGAGAAACCTGCACTCGTGTTAAGAAACCTCTCGGAACTTCAGCAGCTGACCATAAGGATCGTTGGTCCTTTGGAGCCAGCCCTTACACAATTCTTCCCATGCATGCCATTCACTCTCCGCAGTCTCGAGGTAACTGGGCCATTGTTTGACCTCACGCGCCTAGACACTCTCAATCACGTATTGCCTCACCTGACAAATATCAGGATCAACATATACAACTCAATTACATGCCTTCGTTTATTCCAGCTTGCTCCCAACCTCTCCTCGTTAAGCATTGGTATATTGTTCTTCGAAACACAGGCCTTAACACCGTTCACACACACCAAACTTCAATTCTTGCGCATCGTCGATGTCATAGGGTCCACAGACCAGTTACCTGACTTGTTCAACGCTCTCTCATTCCCCAATTTACGCGTACTCGAAGCTCGCAGTGTACCAAAATGGCCTCATGAGGAGTTGAAAGCATTCTTGGCGCGGTCAAAATTTCCCTTGGAAAGGCTGGTTCTTGGTGTTGGAGTGACGACGGACGAGCAGCGAGCGGAATATGGTGCCCTCATTTGTTCCCTTGAACCATTAATTAACTGGTAAACGACTAAAAGTTTGTTGCACATTTCGCAGTGATGATATTGGGCTGGCAGTTGAAGTACGACAGGTGGATATAACAGTATTCGCCATCGTTGGGCCGTACATGTTGACAAACTACTATGCTTTGTATGTGCATATGTGCAGTGACGTTCCGAAGCCTTTGTCCCAAAATGATATGTGTATGTACTAGTACCAACGATTCATGTAAATCAAATCTGCAGATCAGCGACTTCAATACGAGTCTCATTGCTCTCCTCGTCCCCCTCCTGCACAGTGTCACTCAAATCGCGAACATTTGCCCTTCGCCTCATTCCTGCCTCCGAGGGACACATGTCCCCCAGGCGAATCCTCCAAAGATCTCACCATCGCATCCGTCTCAAAGGAATACGTGGTATCCTCCAACGCATAGCCCTTCTTCTCAGGTAGCAAAAAATACACCCACGCTGCCGTGATCATGCAGCACATGCCGAGGAGCAGGAAAGTTCCGTACGTGATCTTCTAGAATAGCACCAGGGTCACTCTTCCGCATACTTTCTCTGTTAAGATGAAATTGCTCAACATGCTCATTCTGTGGAAAGGGGCTAGGGCGAGAAGGTCGCAATGGCTCTCGTTATTTAAAAATTACTCTGAAGTGAATTCTTTGACAGCACTCGTACCTTCATACATACGAGCATTTCTGCTAGGGTGTGCCTTGTCAATCTTGAAGCTTGAAGCTTAACAGCCTTAGGGGATCTCTGTAAATATATAGTAGATAAATTTCGAACTGCCATCTATCAGTACATAGAAAACACTGTTTACGCCCTGCGTGTGTAAGTTATACAAATCGGTACATTTAGCTGATACTCATACTCTATCCAAGAGGACAAGCCTTGTTGTTTGATCAAACTCTACGGTTTGCATGTCCCCACACTTCCCGCACTCCCTCCCGCAACATCTCTGTTAGGTAAAGCATTCTCGGTGTCACTTGGTCCCTCAGGCAAGCACTGGATCCGGCGAATCCTTCTCCTGCGTGGACGACTGCCCAGGATTCAAATCTTGATAATGTATCCTGTCATACGCATCAGTACATGTGAGTGAGCAGGTGGATCTTACTTACCATTTCAGCATACTGTAGAAAGCAGCTCCCAGTAGAGAGCCAAGAAACGGACCAACCCAATACTACAATGAGGCGAAGCTTAGGTACCAGTGTGCTCCCGTGAAGAGTCTGATTTACTTACTACCCAGTGGTGAGGGTAAGGGAACCCAGTAACGACAGCAGGCCCGAATGAACGTGCCGTATTCATCGATGCACACGTATAAAACACAGCCCATCTACGCCAGGTATGGACGATTTCAACAACTAATACTACAGGAAGGTAGCCCACTTACAAATGTCCGACAAATAGCGTCAGCCCAATGCCAATCTGATGCATGACGTTTAGCGTTATCATGATGAGACATATGATGATAATCATCCTTACTGGTGCAAACGGAGTAACCTGGGATTTCTCAGCGGCTAGCATCAGAACGGCTAACGCCAGTGTCGCCGTGAGGAACATTTCAATGAAAACGCCTTGAAATGAATTGATTCCCTGTCGTAGGAACGTGCTATTGGGGAAGGTGCACATTTCATTAGGATTGATAAAATCACCAATCGCGACAGTTACTTACTTGACATACAATGGTCCAGGGGTCAACGCAAACAACAGCGCTGATGCAGCAATAGCTCCAACCAGTTGTGCGATACAGAACAACACAAATCTCATGGGGTTCACCAACCCTACAAGAAACAGTGCAAGCGTGATATTGGGGTTGAAGAGTCCACCCGTTATCCTGTAAAACAACCAAGCGGAGACCAGAAGGCTGAAACCCATGGATGTCGCGATATACATCACATGTTCGATAGTGGTGCCGCTGACTCCGGCCTCGTCAGCAGCCACCTGAATACCGCCAAGTCCTAGGAGTAGAAACAACGTTGTCCCAACGAACTCGAGCGCGGCGGCCTTACAGTCAAGCTTGAATGTATCGAACAAGCCGCGCATAGAGAAACGAGAGGCTGATCCGGTTGTTGAAGACATGTTGTGTTGTACGATGAAGAGCTTGTACGATGGAGAAAAAATTGCAGTCTATTGCAACTCCTTCAAATACTGGCACCCGCCTGTGCATCGGTATCAACCCGACATCGAGACAGCCTGTCGTTGTAATGTTAAACGACTCCTCTACATCCAGTTTTCATGTTGGCTGAAGTCCTTGTATGCATTATACTATCTAGTGATGAATGAGAGGATCGTACGAATGAAGAATTACCACCTTTGCGTGCTCTACGGGTAAGTCAGAGGGGAGTATATTTCGTGTGGCAGGACCCACGTGTCAAAGAGTTGTGTTGATGTGGCCACTGTGTCTGATACCTTGAAGGACTGGTGAATCCTAACGAATGCTGGGTCTGTTGTTGCGAAGGGATGGAAAGCTTCCACCAAAAATCCTGTGATGTATCGATGAGAGGTCTAACGTTGATTGTGTGAACAATCCTTCGAACATATCGCTATGATCTCGCATGAAGGTGACATCTGACAGCCGTGTCAAGTACTATCGATCACGTTATTGATGTTTGAACGGAAGTTGTCACATACGGACAGAAAACTGGCGTATGGTGAACTTATTCGCTTGGCCTCATTCCTCGGCCAACTGAGAGCTGTGAGTCCAGCACTTTCAGGCATGGCCGCGATCTGCCTTGATTGATGAACATGCAGCCTTGAGATGCCACTCAAAAAGCTCACGCTCACGAGGCAACTTGGAGCGGCATGAACGCATTACTGCGGACAGATACAGTCACCAGAAAGCGGAGGGTGTGTAAGCGTGCATGAGTACCTAGGCTGCAAGATTACTTGCCCCCGAAATTTCCTTGCTCCACTCGGGAACTCAGTACCCCCTATGCGCGATTTCTGAAATAGTGTGCTTAGCATCACGGTGTGGATAAAGTGGCACTGTTTTCAGGCGTTGAATAATGTCGATTCCCGAGTTAATTAATTTGCTCGATCTGCGTCTTTACTGTTAAAGATATCCGCTGTCGATACGACGGAGACTAATATGCTGTTATGAAAACTTCCCAATGTTCAGTTAGATAGGTTTTGTACCCATAGCTCGTGCACCGTACTAACCGAGATGCTATTCACTCCATCCCTTATCGGACCTCATCTTCTTCACGGCACTGCGTTTATCCTTCTCCAATCTCCTTCGATTGTCGTGTGCCTTTTCTAGATTGGCAACCCTCTGCCTTTGTTCTGCACTGGGTTCGCTAGTAATGAAGTTCTTGGCAGCATCCCTCACGACGACATGCATCTTGAGGAAAGAAGTCCTGTTCAGTTTGAGATACAGTGTCGACAAGTTGAACAGACTTTGCCCAGGGAATCATCAATGTTTCGTGCTTGAGAACGAGACGCGCTAGACGAGACTAGTAAAGAATGCGATGTTTTGACGTAGTATGGCTTGAATCAAACGGTTTCAGTCTAACAATCGCATGACAAGCTCCACAAATCACCGTCCTGACGAGACTCTCGCGCGCCCATATCGGTATCCAAGGTGCGTCCACACGACAGCGCGCAGAAACCTTGGTCTCCACCTTGTTGACATTCTAACCAATATCAATAAGTACACCGCAGTCTCACACGGAAAACGAGCAATATGAATGTACCTGCCCCCCGGGACCAGAACTGCGAGAGAAAGTAAGTTCGACTAGATTTTTCGGGACGGTTTTGGCGTCTTCGAATGCGCGAAGCCAAACCTTCGCACCTTCCTGATCTTCTGCGCAGGATAGAGAAGCGGTCGAGGGTGGGATAGGAAGGGTATGGATCAGACGGCACCCGCGAGTCCAGGTAGCCGTTAGTGCATACCACGACTTTCTTGTGATTCGAGGAATCATAAATATACCACTCCCAACATTGATATAAAAAACAAGAGCTTCTCAGTGCCAGTTGAGTGCGAGCCACAGGGCCTGAGTAAGAGTTTGGCACATGCACATTACATAAATCGAAGTCCCCATGACCTAGTGACCTTGGTAAACAAGGTCCCCTGTCGTTCTATCTCGCACCAAGTATGATTTTTGTCTATGACTACGACTGCGACTAAATGCCAATGTCAGGAAGGGTCGAGCGCCCAATCAGATGGTTATAATCGTGTTGGTCGTGGGTAAATAAACTAACACGTGTCACTGTTGTTAGTTTCATTGGGGTTTTGCCAATGGGGTCTACCACTATGTCGCAGAAACCTGGAGTTCACTCTTTGGAAGGGTTCAGTACAATTGGCAGTGGGATATATCTCCGGGATACCCGCGAGCAATGCCAGGATACTACATTGCCAAAGTGAGTCGATATCCGTGATAGCATAGTAGCTGACGTGTCACGAGGCATTCCGTAGTGTCATTTTAATATTCGGATGGAGTAGGCCATTACCCTTCTCGTTCTTGCTCGAATCCTTGTCTAACATGTTGCGTCTATAGTGGGAGCACAACTTAGACATTTGCAGAACTATACCCATGCATATACCAAATTATATCCGAACGCGTCTCAAATCGTTGTTCGGTGCAATCCCGATGTGTTCTGGACTACAACCGGTACTAGAGTGAGCACCTCACAATTCCTCACTATTGTCATGTCGGCTCACACAATTAAAAGCAACGCCGCCTCATGCCTGTAATTGATGCCTTAGAAGCACTGCACTGCTTCCCACCTTCTTCTTCTGCCCAACCACCTCCCCGCATACTCACTCACGTATTTTCCAACGGTAAGTTCACCCAGGCTGAATGCGGAGAAAGCTGATCATTGTATGCACCACCAGGAGGCTCCCTGCAAATGACACTTCTTGGACACATGCTGCAGCGGAAATATGGCTCTACATTAATTCAACGTTTCACCACGAGCGCACTGATCCTCGACTCGTGCCCGGCAATTGGTAACCTAAAAACAATTAAACTCGCCTTCAGCGTCGTCATTCGGAACCCAATTCTCAGGGTCATCGTACTCGCCATGATATACACAATGCACTTCGTCGGCCTTGGCCTCTCTCTGGTATTGGGTAAACGAATAATGTTGATGGAAAACCTCCGGATCGAAATGTGGAATCCCCGCGTCCTGCCATGGATGGGCCTCCACACACCCCGCCTCTATCTTTTCTCGCGCAAGGATAAATTGATTCCGTGGCAAGATGTCACGCAACATGCCGAGACTGCGAAGGAGCGCGGAATGGATGCACGTTGCGAACTGTTTGAGGAGAGCGAACATGTAGCACACATACGGGTGGAGCCAGAGAGGTATTGGGCTTCGGTACAGGATATCTGGGCGGCCGCAATTTCCAAGGAGAAAGTCGAGGATCAGAGGCTACTTGAATTATAGATTTCTGTTGGAAGATCTGCCTCCCATGTCGTAGTGCACCCGTGTATTGGGTCACGTTGTAATTTGCAGAGAATACCCCTTCAATTGCGTTTCAACTAGTACGTACTAACATAGAGCTGCTACAATTTACCTTCATATTAGGCTCACTAGACGTTGCAAGATGCTTCTCGAGTGCTATAACTGAGATATGCAGAACTGCAAAGAATATTTCTTGTATCAGCCTCACTGATTGCCACACGACAGATTGTCGGAGGATTATCTGATCGTAAGCGGTGTTCCCGATTGCGATACGAATAAGCACCCAATCGAAACTCGAAGCCTGAGAGAGGGTCAAGCTGCGACGTAACAACCTCTTCATTCTGCGCCTATATACTGACACACACTGTTTCCGCAGTCATCCTTTTGTACCTGTTCACTTCATGTGACGGAGTACGAGTTTGAATCACACTTATCTAAGTATATTTCCCCCCAACACATACAAAAGAAAGCTTATGACGAGACTATGTCCAACACAGGGTCTACGACCCTAACTTAAAGGACTCCACTCTGAAGTAAAAAAAACCTCTTCAGAAGTTCTTCTAGCAGTAAATCGCCCTCGCCTGCAGATTGAAATAATAAGCAACCCAACAGCTACAAGAGACGACTTACAGGCCTAGCTAGAGGGACAGAGACAGCAATTGCAAGGAAAACGGGGGGGCTGAGAATGATAAAACATGGTTCAGCTAAATGCAACGAGAATCCCAGTTAACCTGAAACTAAAGGTGAATTGATCATCGATGACGGTCAACCAATGGCGAGGGAGCTGAACCTTGTCAGAAAAAGGAAATCATTTTGGGCGCGCATCAGCTGCGTACAGGTGCCTGGACGTTTGGAGTCGAAACATTGACAGAACCCTCCGTGGACTTCGTGGAGTCGGGGATGCATAATGCTTAACGTGTTGTCAAACCCAACGCAGTAAATTTTCGCTCCAACGTTTTCAACATTCGCTAAAAGTGGCCCCACATTCGTGATCAAAAATAGCGGATACCTTCAAGTTCTCCTCAACTTCTACTAGTACTACATTTCCAAGTTTCCAAGACTGATTTACTATTCACTGTATCTTCACTACTACGGCTGCGTGATACCGCATTTCTATGTCAGTAAATATTATGTTGTTTGAATCGTTCATTGTTTCATGGGGTATAAGATCGCATCGTCCTCGGCTAAATAGGTATGTTAACATCGTGGTGTTAACTGACGGTCATGAGTACTTGCAGCGTTCAACTACGGCTGCATGATATCGTTAATAACCATAATGCTATGATGTCACGAATACTTACAGGAACGTTCTTTAAGTGACATGGGGTACAAGATCGCATCGTCCTCGGCTAAATAGGTATGTTAGCATCGCGGTGATAGCTGACGGTCATGAGTACTTGCAGCGCTTAGCTACGGCTGCATGATACTGTTAATAACTATAACACTACTGATGTCATGAATACTTACAGGAACGTTCTTTAAGTGACATGGGGTACAAGATCGCATCGTCCTCGGCTAAATGGGTATGTTAGCATCGCGGTGTTTAACTGACGGACATGAATACTTACAGCGCATAGCTACGGCTGCATGATTTAATACTGTTAATGACCATAATGCTACTGATGTCATGAATACTTACATGAACGTTCTTTAAGTAACATGGGGTATAAGATCGCATCGTCCTCAGCTAAATAGGTATGTTAGCATCGCGGTATTAACTGACGGTCGTGGGTACCTGCAGCGCTCAACTACGGCTGCATGATATTGTTAATAACCACAATGCTACTGATGTCATGAATACTTACAGGAACGTTCTTCAAGTGACATGAGGTACAAGATCGCATCGTCCTCGGCTAAATAGGTATGTTAGCATCGCGGTGTTAACTGACGACCATGAGTACTTGCAGCGCTCAAGCACGGCTGCGTGATATCGTTAATAACTATAATGTTACTGATGTCATGAATACTCACAGGAACGTTCCGTGATCGCTCCTGACATGGGGTATGCAACGGCAAGGACCACCATGGAGGCAAGGACACTTAACAGAAGAGAGCGCTGCATGTTTGAAGTTAAGATGAGTGAAGGATAGAGGAAGTTGGTGCATAGATCGAAAATTCAGAGGTCCTTCTTATACCTTTTCGTAAACCTGGATTTGCTTGACCCATCGTACGTTGCTGGAAATACGACGTGGCATGACATTCAACTGACCTACTGACCGGCACATAATGTTACAAACGTTTGAGCGAGAATATTGCCCTCCGAGACAGAGTCACGGGGTCCATGTCCTTCCGTACGAGAGGCTCCAGAATCGAGACTGATTCACCAATCTGGGGGTTTGTCAGTAGATGTAGCTGGATAGTTGCAGTCCTTACTGCTTTATGATGCCGCTGATCCAAGGCACGCAGCTTCCTCCAGTTCATCAAGTCGTTCTTCCTCCCCACGTGTTTCACCACCAATACATTTCCCGCTACGTCATCTGTGTTCGCATCGATGCACGCTAACCTCCGAATCCACACGTTGGATGTCGCATAAACTACAGGTTGTGCCCCCCCCTCCCCCACAGCATATCTGCAATCAGGTCGTACGTTTGGCAGAACCGACCTGTCGCGCGACGAAGTCTGGCTTGAGCTGATCCAACCGATTTGGGCTGCGGTAGCGAGAACGAAGACAGGTAATTTAACCCTCGTTATCTAAAGAAAAACCAGGGGAACGGGGGTCCCGGTCCTGGCCAACTTCGAGAAACTATCTGCCGTATCGGTGGCAGTATCCTGAGTGATTTGTGCCATAGCACGCGCAGGAGTCAATGCGAACTCCAGAGGAGCGTGAGTGTCATCGCGAGAAGCAAGAGAGGGAAGAAAGACACACAGAGAGAACTATCGCAAACCGGACGCCTAAGATTTACGAAGGCAGATGCATAAGCGGCTTTGAGCAGTTGGTAATGCATCTAGTATTGTGGGTGGAACTCTACCATCCTGCCACGTAGCAGGGCAGAACTGGCACTGCTAGGCAGATGGCAGAACATTCCGGGCAGGATGTGGCAGAACTCAGAACCGGGAGGATCTACTGTATAGTATACAGCATCAGTTCAGTGCGTGATAGTGTGATTTGGGGTGCTTGAAACTCTCTACAATGGCTATTAAGTTTGGAGGCCGGCCTCAGTCATATGCCAAGCAGCTCGAGACTTACTTTTCATTTGTTCCTGAACTTGCAGCAGTCTCCAGTGACAATCTCAAAGGTCCCGAATCAATTGATGATATTGATGCTGAGTTTGCTTGACTTGAAGGTATTCGTAATGCAGAAAAAATGGCGGACACAGATTTGCCTCGGACTGGGATGTGGATGGGAAGGAGGATTTAGAAGGGAGAGCGTTCGACTTTGCAGAACTGCAGCGCGTTGACAAGGGATTAGTGCCTGCAGCAATAGAGGATGAGATTATGGTCACAAATAATGCAAACGAAGATGGGACTTGGAATATTGATTCCATCTTGCTATCGAGTGGTCTTACATCTATGTAGTTGGTTACATAGGGTGTGACATGGGTGGACCCGGATGGCACCCGTACCCAATCTGCGGATGGAAGCGGCGTTTGACAGCGTTTGACGGCCTACCCGCACCCATACGGGTCAGAGTATCACAGGTGCGGGTGGATCCGCAGATGATGCAGGTCATTCGCGGGTGACAAATTGTACATTGCGGGGAATTGGTCAATTTGCAGATACGACTTCAACGGGAACAGGTAGTACACTTAATATCTGCAACCACTGTCGATCAATCATCAGAGTCGATTTCAATGGCGGTCCCTTGGTGTAGCTCTCGAGTGACGTATCATAGTGAGTACAGACCGCTGAACTCGTGCTTTCGATGCCGCTAAAATGATAATGAGCCCATAGATCTACATTAAGACTACGCAATGAAATACCAATGATGCCATTGTCGCTCTCATCCCAACATCGATCAGATTTTTCCGACCATTGACGCGGAATTAGCCGAGAGCTATATAGCTTAAAGTTTAAATTATGTATGGTATTAGTAGACAGAGCCTCCACTAACGTCGTAGTGGACTGGGAGTCAAACACACTGCCCATTATTCGAAACAACATCAGTGCTAGCATGGACAAGAGCACCGCCCACAAGCACGCGCACTACATATCAACCACAGTAGCACTCGTACTGTGTAGCACGTACTGCATCTGACTCAGAGACCCTGGAAGGATGCCCGGTCTCGAAGGACTCCAATCTTCCCTCACCCTTGCAAGAATTTCCTAAAGGTGGTCTCGCAGCTAGGGCTATTGCGTTCGGACTGTAGGAAGACTTATATAACAAACGTACGTGACAGGCAATTATGAATGCAGATTGCTGCTATTGCTAAAGGAGGCTACGCTGCTGAGCTGGCGGAGTTTGCGATATTCTCTGCTCGCCTTTCTCCTTGGAGATTGCGACAACCCAAACCTCTTGTACCGAAGACCAATACCTTTCTGGCTCGACCCGCATGTGTGCCACATGTTCGCTCTCTTCAAACAGCTCGCACCGAACATCCATTCCGCCTTCCTTTACTGTCTTGGCATGGTGCATGACCTCTTGCCACGGACTCGATTTATCCTTGCGCGAGAAAAAGTAGAGGCGGGGAGTGTGAAGGCCCATCCACGGTAGAACGCGGGGATTCTGCATGTCGATGCGGATGTCTGAAATCAACATCATTTGCTTACCGAACAGCAGAGACAGGCAGAAGCGGATGAAGTACACCGTGGATACGAAGGTGACTACGACGGATTTGACAATTGGGTTCTGGACCAGAGTGCTGAACACGCGTTTGATTGTATTCAATTTCACAGTTGTTGGGCATGAGTCAAAGATGAGTGCGCTTGTGAATGACCATTGGGCAGATACAGAACCATATTTCTGTTGTAGCATGCGACCAAGATATGACATTTGCAGGCAGCCTCCTGGTGAAGATTTAGCTTGTTCCATTTTCAGTCTGGGTGAACCCACCATTGGAAAACACGTGGGTTAGTATTCGGGGACGCCTTTGCGCAGAGGGTGATCCAGAAGATGGCAAACAATGCAATGCCTTTAAAGCATCAATCACAGGCACGAGACGCTGTTGCTTTTAATCGTGTGGGACGACAGCATAAAAGTGAGCAATTTGTGTGAGGTACTCACTATAGTATTGGTTGTACTCCAGAAAATACCAGGGTTGCACCGAACAACGATTTGAGACGCGTTTGGATATAATTTGGTATATGCATGGGTGTAACTCTGCAAATACCTAAGTTGGGCACCCACTATAGACGCAACGCGTTAGACAAGGGCTTCAGCAAGAACGGGAAGAGCTTACTCCATCCGAATATTAAAATGACTCTATGGAACGCCCTGTGAGCTATCCCGCTAAGTAATGCACACCAGACTCACTTTGGTGATGTGGTGTCCGAGTCTTGGCTTTGCTCACGGTTATCCCGAAGATATATCCCAGGACCAATCATACTGAACCCGTCCAGGGAGTGAACTCCAGGAGTCGGCGACATGCTTGCAGAGATTAACCTCGTACTGGTTCCCTGACTCTAGGAATTACCAGAGATGAACACAACGAAAATAAAACGACATACGCCCAGGCTTTATATGAAGAAAGGCTATCTTCCCTTGATAAGTTTGGTTAGACTGCATATTTCGGTGAGCACATTATTACCGATTGCGAGCTGTAGCTGCACTGGGAGCTTTTCCGGGACCGTGGATTTCTTCACATGTCAACTGATAAACGAGGCTTGATCACACCTAACACTAGACTCGCGACCAGTCTGGACTACGTCTTTGAGATGTTAAGTACTTGACGTATAAAGTACTTAACATCTCAAAGACATAGTCCAGACTGGTCACGAGTCTGACCTAACACAGAGGTCGATATCCATGACACTTCAGTGGCGAGACATCATGCTATTCTTCTGATATCAAGCGCGTCACTTTCCTACAATAGACGATGGGCATAGCACCCGTCGATATCATTTTACAATATGTCGGCAGTGTATTTTGAAAGTGCACCAACAGCCTCCTGCGCTTATATTAGTGGAATCATTTTAGGCGTGGGGCACTCGTTGAGTCCTTTCATTCCAACGAGAAGGCCCTTGTTGAAAAAAATTAGAAATGACAGCCTCGAAAGGAAATTATTTAGTTTCATGGTATCAGAAAGATATGCAGTCTATACCATTGCGGCATCCAACGTCATGTCTACTTGACAACTATCAAGGATTTAAAGAAGCCACTGGCGAGTTGGCACGGGAGGACTTTAGCGTGTCCCTTGTGAGCATACAGATTACTGGTTGCATGCTTAGAGCCAGATACTGATTTTGACCAGAATTTAAATATCTAGGATAGTGACAGCACCAGCAGCCGAGCCTAGTGCAACACAGCCTCTTTCTTCATCATAGTCAAGACATGTCCAATCCTTGCCGTAATTCTTCCACGATGACTTGACCTGCGATTTATCCTGAGTATTGAGCAATCCAGGGAAGGCGGCGGCGACAAGTGTTTCGTGAGACTGTGGCACAGGCATATTTTGCAGGTGAACGCTCGAAGAGATTAAGCCTGCAACTGAATAGTCTTCTGGTTGCACCCAGACTGCAGTCCCATGTGGACCAAGCACCATGTCGGTGCATCGTAGGGCACCCCGGCGCGGGGTGACGATTTCTGATGTCATAGAAGGGGGGAAAATGTAATGTGGCCCGTCGACAGTAGCTTCATAAGGCGAGGTCATTGGACTCAAAGTCCAGAGTTGCATCTTGAACGTGGATGACCACGGGTCATCATTCTTCGTGCGCACAAGAATCGACAGAGGCTGTCCTTCCATTCCTGTGGGATCCTCAGGCGAAGATGGCGGAACAGAGATAAAGATACCGTCCACCCAACCAAATGTGCTCTGGGCATAGGGATGATGGATGCATGTGTTGGAATGTGGTGCTAGTTTTGGCTCCGTAAATGCATGAACTGAACGAGCTCTAACAACAAGAATGGTCTTGTATGCAAAGACGACCTGAGTGCATTTGTTCTACAGATCTCATAGTAATGAAAAAGAGGCTGACAATTGACGGGGCGACATACCCGCCAAAGGTCCGCATCAACGGGACTTTGTAAGACCGCGTACTCCTGTGTTTTCCAGTTCCAAATTATTGTCTCGGATTCGTCGTCGGCTAAGGCTAGTAAGGACCCGCACATAGCGATTGGTTGACGTAACGTGTCCAGTCGGGCAATGCATTCAAACCCTGGCGGAGAGTCCGGCGTTATAGACGCGATAGCTAATATCTCAACCACAACGGAACTGTGAATGCTTTAGCGCAATGACGAGTGTGGCCAGTGAGATAATACAGACTCGTATCTGTGCAGTGACACCGCGAGAGCAGCTTCACAATCTTCAGACGTGTTCACTGCTAGAGCAGAGAAGACAGCCTTTTGGGGGGACCACGAAGTGACTCGCTTCAAGTTACGGCGATCCCAGAGTATGATCATTGACCATATACCCTGAGAGACTGTGATGAGCCATCTCCGATCATGGCCTGGAATGAAGTAGATGTCTTGAATAGGGCTCCCATTGCTCGCTGCGAAGCCAGACGCGCGAAATGTAATTGAAGGAGCTTTCCAAGCCTTCCCAAGATGGTAGGCACGGCGTACTCTGTCCTCCAGATCACGGACAGGGAAACTCGAGAGTGGTTTCTTAGAGAAGGGTATGCCCTGCTGCAATATCTGAGAAGAACCGATATTCTGCCATACAATTCGCTGACTTGAGAAGACTAGCAGTCTACGACATGTCTAATATTTCGAGCAAGAGTGTGAGCAAAAACCTCGGCTGAGCTGAAACAGTCTTACTTGTCTCAGGTTGAGCACATCTGGAACAGTCAGCGCAGAAAAGACGCCAAGGAGGGTATCATCATCAAGAGAGTCGAGGAAAAGGCACATATTAGTGGTGGCCTTTGCGATTGAACATACACTTGAGAGATTCTATTGCCTTGTGGTACACCTGCAGATTCCTGTGAGTCCCATCATCAGCTTATGACTTGGCTTCGCGAGATCATTGTGACATTTCTCAAGCTCTCAAGGGGCAAAACATACATATGCAATTATGCACACATACCCATAATCAAAGCAATATACGTGCAAACAAGTGCTGTCACGATATACCACTAGAGCCAAGAGCGCTCATAAGTTAAGTAGAACTAGGTGTTATGTCTGCCAAGGAACCCACCCGACAACAACTCTCCTCTCGTTTACAGTACCAATCCCATGTTCCCCGCGTTCTTGCAAAAATTTCAGAATAAAGTTCAAGGCATAACGGACGAAGACGAGGACGAGCCACAGTACTATGATGACGGTTCGGGACGTCCACCAATACCCGTCCGTCCTGCGATACCCGAACGACCCGACGATGATCCTGGAAGTGTAGACGAAGACGACATTGATGAAAGACCTCAGGTAGTTGTGCTGAAAGAAGGCAAGCATCTCACAGAGAGGGAAGCAGAAAATGAGAGGCGGAAAGGTGCGTATCACCTTACAGAACCTTTTGCTTTTTCTGACATGATCGCCTAGAGAAAGGATTGCCACCACTCCCTGATCCCAACAAAAAAGTCGAGAATGATACCAAGGATGACGCGAAATCAGACATGAATTCTTCGAAGAAGAAGCTAAAAGAGGCTGCTGTCACTCTGTCGTTTTCTTCTTCAGGTGCGAAGGCCCAACAATCCAACAAGCTCAAGCGAAAGGTTGTTGGAGATTTGGATGGCAGCGATGAAGGCACCAAGAAAGCATCGAAGAAAAAGTCGAAGAAAACACGGAAAGGACCACTTTCATTCGGAGAAGACGTGTAGTTCGAGTCTTGGGCGTAGTAAGTCCTACTCTATTTTTTGCAGCGACGATTCTAAGATTTGATTGCATCAAGTTATGCCGCAAGGATACCTTCTTACCTTCGTCATAAGCCATTTATTCCTGAACTAGGTTTGTGTTCAAGCGAGGACACGACACGACAACTTTCCAGTTCCTTGCTGGAGGAACCTGTTGCAAAAGCAGGAACATTGGCGTTACTTATATAACGCCGCGTCATACAGCTGTACGGGCGTGCTCTCAGAAGTTCAGCGACACGGTGATTTTGCCGATGAATTCAGCTGTGAGTATGGTCGAGACGAGAGAGAGCATCGAAAAACCACGATGTACGTCGTGGGGCCCGTACTCTCAGTTTCTCTTGGACTCCTATGACTGCATTAGTTGCAGACGTTGGTATCTTAAACAAGCGTTTAGTTCGTGTAGTACATACTAGCATAATAATCCGCAATGAATATAACCTTCCTGCACAATCACGTGATCAAACTAAATTACTTTGACTGAATCCTGGCTTGCGTCCTTGCACCTGGTCAGTGGTCCCTCGCTGCAAGCACAATAATTACATCTAGCAAAAGGTGGCTCCATTTGAGGTTAGCAGTTGTTCTTTTTATCTTTATACAGTCACTGGGGGTTCAAAACTCACCGATTCCGTGCCTACTGTTCTTCATAACTTTGGAGGCACAGAACTACCACTGGAAGTACGAACGAAACCAACGACCGAGGGCAAATAAAAGGAACTACACGATGCACTCTACTTTTGTTCGCCTCGCAGAATCTGCGACCGCGAAGCATGTAGACCTGCGCCAGGCGAGCTTTGCGCTATACCCGCCAATTCCGTATGTCTGTCTGTGATATTTTGACGGCGGCGAGTAGCTCAATTTTTACTTTTGGCGCAGCCTATACCGCAGATTACTCAGAGCGCACAGGAGACTTCCAATTGAAATGCGTTCATTGGGTGATGACTATGTCAAAGCTGGTATGTGTTCTATGGTAGTGACGTACCACCAGCTCACACCGTTGTTCTCAAAGAGTTTAGAAGGCATAGAAAGATTACCAATCCAGTACATATCATGGGGTTCCTGACACAGTGGAAGATGTACTTGGATGAGCTACCTCGAGATCCTTCGGACTCGAGAAGTTTCAAAAAACTAGATCCTACGGTATACGAAAAGGTCTTTATGATTCCGCTCGTCTATGGATTTAGTTTACTGGTATTAACATGTGTTCAGATGTCTGCAGAACAACTTGGACAGTTGTATGAGTTCATGCACGCGACTAAAGAGATATGGAAACCAGTGAATAGCGAACAGGCTCAGTCTGAGACCAAGAAATAGCATACCCAGTGACTGTCGTCTATAACGCGTATATGCCGTTCCGCTTGGTTCCGTGAAGTCCTGGGCGTTCCGACACGGCCGAATGTCAGACTGAGAAATGTAATCCTCAGTCCTTCGTTTACATACACCCTTCCGCTTGGTTCCGTGGAGTCCTACACGTTCGCCAAGGCCAAATTTGAAACCAAGGCCGGACACCTTCGATCATCCATACCATGTCCTTCGTGTACATGCTCCACTCCGCTTATTTCCGCGAAATCTCAGCCGTTCCGCTTTTGACACGACTCGGAGGGCTGAGAAATACGAATAAAGTAACTGGGAAGTTTTGGTCTGAGGTCTCCGGACCAATCCGGTCCAAGACGAGAAAATTCATCCCTTTGCAATTATACTGCCTCGTGCTTTCGTGAGTTCGCCATCAACGGGGGCCCAACTCCTTCCCACTTTGATATTTGGAGTCACGTGCACGCGTAGATATAAATAAGATCTATATAGATTCAATGCTTGGTTCTCATTATTTCGCTCCAAACTCACTCATCCATAATGTCGCAAGCTGCTGTCAGTAATTTTTCTTGATTTTCATTATGACAGTTTGACTGAGTAGCTAGGAAGACCGTTTCATCGAACAACCTGCCTTATGCTGACCTGCCCCCGATTGTGGCGGCACTCTTCCAGGCTAAAGCAAAGAAAGGTGAGGCCTTGATCAAGGGATGGGCGCGGCTGAGTTATGGATTCTCTGACACGCAACAGGGTTATCCTTTGAAGCTATTTCTAAGGCAATCGGAAGAGATGAGATCTGGGTAGCTGCAGCTTTCTATGGACAGGTTCGTCTGCACATTAGGATCGGGTCGCAATCGTTCACGTGTTCCCATAGGCCAAAATGTCTCCCGAGGAGCTCGAAGCTGTTGCAAATGTCCTGGACATTCCCACTGCTAGTGTCCAGAGTGAGCTTGGTTCCCACTGGTGGCCTAACCGTGGTGGCCTTGGACCTATGCCCCCCACCGATCCCGTCCTCTATCGTCTATACGAGAGTGTCCTCGTGTATGGTCATGCCATCAAGGTCAGTCGCGTTTGATATCATCCATGATGCAATCTCATAAAACGACCAAAATCAGGCTGTCGTTCATGAGAAGGTGAGAGATTTGAAATTCGACTCGCCAATATGTTGACCTAGTTTCTGCAGTTTGGCGACGGCATCATGTCCATGATCGACTGCAAAGTTAACGTTACTAAGAAGCCGGACCCGAAGGGTGACCGTGTTGTTTTGACCTTCGAGTGAGTTGACTTATGTTGTTCGACATTCCTGCCCGGGTTCTCATCTGGTGATATCCTATTACAGTGGCAAGTTCCTGCCCTACGCAAAATGGTAGAAACTTCGTATTTGCCAATGTATTCATGATGTATTACTACCACAAACAATGTTGGGGAACCCTGACGCAATCGTTTCAGTGCTCTACCAGATCATATTTTGATTCAGACCAGGATATGATAAATAAGTCGCCTGCGTAGTCGAATGCCACCTAACCACATTTACTACAGGAAACCACGATGTCTAGCTCATCTTCATCTTCTGAAAGCTCTTCTCGGACGCACAGCCTTTCTTCAACCTCCCTGTCGTCTTCGAGATCTAGTTCATCCTTCTTCAACCAAGGTTCTGATGCTTCCAGCTTACTTACGGAGGTTTCGAGCAGTCCCCCAGGCTCTCCGAATCTGCAAACATCGTCCCAGAAGACCAAAGATTTCATCGCTGCTGCATCCGCAAAGCTGTCCAAAGCCCGCGAGCAGGTCTCGCATGCGCTCAGCGATGCCACTCCTAGAGATTCAAAGTTCCGTTCTCCAATAAACCCTGCTATTGTCGAGGAGGATGTGGGATATGAGTCGGATGGTGATATTTGCGGGGCGAATATGAGAGTTCCTCCAAGCCCCCAAAAGGCAAGACCCAAGTTCCTACGGGTGGACACAAAACAACGCAAACGAGCTGCTTCCATTCTGTCCCTCCACCCGTTCAGTGTTACCACCAAAGCCATCGCTCTTAACTCAAATACTACTCACAAACGCTCGCTCGCTCGTCTTGATACTATTTCTAACACACGCGCTGTTCCGGATTATGAACTCACCACTATGACGCTATCGAAACCGCCTACTGGACTTGGCCTGGCTCTACCGTCAGTATACCTTTCGGAGCCTATCCCTCGCGCCTGCACAATGCCAACAATGAAGTCTTCCTCTGGACACAATTTGAAAGACTCACTTCCGGATCGCCCGCCAAACCTGCCGCCGCAGACTTCCTATCTGCGTGAGCCTCCGAGGGTTTACCTTCGCCCCATAGAGCTCCCTGGTACACCTTCCCCTATGGAGCACCTGCCTCCTAGCATCATCGTGTGTGAGGGTCTGAGTGAAGTGGTTAAGCGATCATCGTCTGTGCTTCCTTCGCCTCCCGAAGGATTGTCTCCACTCTGGACGCTCCCTCCCCTTATTGGCTTCGCACCGCCTGAAACAATGCCTCAGAGTCCGCTTCTACTTGGTAAGGGCGGTGGAGACTGGAATCCATACTTCCCTTCCATCTAGGTAGGGCGATGTGTCTGGGAAAATATACGTCCCACTAATCTGGCTGGTTTATACAGCACCATTGAACAACCCGCGCGTCAAATCTAGATGATAACTTTGAAAGCACACATATACATATTGATCATAAGTTACGACCTGTTCACGTGTATGTAAATAAACAACAACTGCAGGCAGCAGCATAGAGTGCATAACATGTTACTGTGTAAATTATCGCTACGGCAGTAGTGGGTTTCGTGGTGCCATCACGCTAGTGACGATGTCGACGGCCCGGATGGCAGTGACTGGGATACGATGTCTGAGCCAGTACGATCCTCTTGAGCGTCTCACTATCTACATCTGTCATTGACAGCATATTTCTTCCGAGTTCATGTACAAACCTAGTACGGGTGTTTCCCTGCAGTCTGATATGCATATTTCTGATCAACCACTTATACCACTGTTATATTTACAAATCGCACCACCTCGTGTACTGGCCAGTACTGTCACTTTCTATTCCCTGGGACTGAACGTTGGCTTGTGTCGGGATGACATAACAGTTGACCTTAAGCTTATCCGCTCTTCTCTTTAGTACTCGCGAGGCCCCACAAGGACAACAACGACCTCGCTTGTTATTACATGGTTTGGATCAAAACTCGCACGCCTGTCAGTACAAGAACCCCCATATCTTAACAACAATTCCCACGACTGCAACATATTCAGTGGTAATCTCTACAAAATCATGCTCTGCCCTCTTCAAGAATTCGACCGGACTCTTGTGTAGTATCTTACAGCTCCATGATGATTCTCTGCAGGAGCCACTCCTTAAACGTCGCGTCGGATAGGACGATAGGAATTTTCACCTGGGCTATCGAGATGTTCGCCTTGTCGCATTTCTGCCTGCGATATTCTCTGAACGTGCCTCTCTCCACGATACGGATGGTTGGCGATCTTGCTCTCCCTTGCAAAAAATCAAGAGCAAACGAACTGTTTTTCAAGAGGTCATCATAAGTTTGCTGTGGCGCCATTTTCGCGTCCTTTCCTGTACACATCAGTTAGCGCAGTCGCGCGGAAGAGTTCCGAAGCAAGCACAAACCTATTTCCCCTTCAATTTCTACCAAGTACCCATGAGTAATTGGCGCGTCTCGGTCGTCAGCCACAATAGTGAAATCTACGATTTGGCCGATCCATCGTTTAGAGGCAGATACGATCGCGTTCGTCAATTCCGACTCTGTACACACTGATCCGTATTCTAGCCCAAGCGAGCCACTTTTTCGGCGGGCATCTCAGCTGCTAGGCCATAAATAAATCATATCGTAACTCACTCTCGCCTATGAAGGTAATTGATGACGGGTAATCCATCATCTGGCGCAAAGCCTTTAACGGCGACGACATCGCCGATGCGGTATCTCCACAAGCCATTGCGGGTCGTCAAGACGGGCTCGTAATGCCCTCCAGTCACAAGTTCCCACTGCAGGGATGAGCAGACAGAACTGGGATGTAGTAAATGGTTCTTACAGCGGACAATACACGCTCCGAAGGCTCGTTGGAATGCACGTCCAGATACTCTGTGACCCCATCTACGGGTATTACCTTGAAGTCGGTATTAGGGTCGCCGTTGAAATATGGTATGGCGATATGACATTCTGTACTGCCATAACAAGGAGCCTGCATTGCGACAGAAGGTCCGAGGGTGTGAGTAACCTTGTGTCGCTAACAGTTAGTTGCATAGTCAACCTTCCACATTTGACGTGCCTTTGGAATGGATGCAGCCTGAGCGGGGCCTCCAGTGACCCCAATGAACTTTTCCAGGTCAGGCCACACATGGACTGCCCAGCCCTGGACTCCAGGAGGCCCAATTTCGCGAAGTTCGGCAGCACGAAGAGGGTTGGGAGTAAGATGTTTCTGAGATATCGTGAGCTGAATGAAATGTAACAATCAACGCAAATATGACCTCCAAAGGTTCTCGCACGTGGTCCAGGTTATCAATGTCCGGGATGATCCCTTTCTCGATACAGTCGATGAGTAGAGTCCACTCATCCTCTATGTATTGCAAAAAATTGACGAATACACTGGCGAAGAGGAAGCGGATGATTGTCACCCGACGGTCTGCGAGTGCAAATAGCGCACTCAGAATGAAGAAAGTGCGATAGCTCTTCACCAAAGAAATCGCGTGTGGAACAGTTTGTTTCGGAACTGAAGTTACATAGATATCAGCAGGGGCAAGGGAAGGTGACACAACGGACTGACCCCATAAACCGAGTCTGTCCATGTCATGCTCGACATCCCAGTTCAATTTCATTCGTTGATAACCGGCGGTTGCCGAGCAGACCGACAACATCTTGGAGCTCTGACCATCCTCACAATACATTTTCAGGACTTGCCAAAGACCTAAAGAGGACGGTGATAAGGCGTTACCCTCTGAATGGGGAATCGACGGGTACAGAGGGTGATGGAACATGTGTGGGGCAAGCATATATATTGGAAATGTCTTTACTGTTTTTCCAGATGTCATGCTGGAGATACCTATGAAGTAGGGCAGTCCTGGGGCTAGCAGGTTCTTTACATCAGATTCATTGCAATGGGTCGCGAAAAACTTTGCTATGTATGGCTTGTAAGGCTCATAGTCTGTGGTGGGAACGAATTCTCGGAAGCTGCGTAGAAATTGAATATCGTCCTTCGAATCGCTGTATGCGATGGTCTCGCAGAACCTTGCCAACACGGGAGCATGCTGAGCAAACTGAGACGTGGAATTTGGGCGTATAAACCCGAGAAGGGCTTGGTCCATGAGCTCCTTGAGCCGCTGGGAGAGTTCGGGGGACAAGGAATTCAATAGATCCGTGCCAGTGTCAGGACGAGACATTAGTTTTATGATATGTTGTGGGGTTGGATTGTGACATTATATAGTGTGAACGGCTTGTATGACCTGCCATTCAGGTTTTACTACGTCGTCCGAGCCCAAGAAGTTTTGCATTGTGCTGGCACTTACACGTCGCAGCCAATCACTTTACCAGTACCAAATGTAGATGACACATCACAATTAAATGATATTACAATTGCTACCTTAGTAGGACGCCGAATGTTATATGCAACCACATCATCAGCTTGAAGGGGTCTGAACGTTCCCAGTGAAGAACGGACATGGCCATTTCCACGCGGGTCGACGGATATGCAAGGTTCGAGTGGAAATCTAAGCTGTGCAAACACATGTTGAACAATCTGTCTACGATTTGAGCAGTACAATGATCATGCTCAATACTGCAAGAATGTGCAGTTCAACTGTCAACGTTTCAACGCGTTCGACTAGATTCAGAGGCCCGTGTGTAATATGTATCTCGTTGCTTGACTCGGAATATTTCGAGCTTCAACAGTTCAACTTGCCTGCAACTCGGAGTTTCAACAAACTCTCTTGTTAAACGAGCGCTGTCAAGGCCTATCTAGTATCTGACTGTACCCATTAAGCCTCTTCAATGATGATCTCAATCCAGCCACAGAACGGACCGCTGCTCCTGCACTGCATTCTGCCGCAGTTCTCGCAACATGTTCAACTCACTTGCTCTTGCGCGTCTTTCTGACATAATATTGTGTAGAATATTTGCAGCGACGCACGTCACGAATGCACATTTAATGATATTCATCACCCATTCTTCCACCACCACCACCATCACAACCGACAGTCATCTCAGTAAAATCTCACTCTTTCTACTACACCACAGCCGTAGATCTCCTGGGCAAACATAGGTTTTCCTCGTCAAACGATGTGAATTTGTTACCTTGGTTGTGTTGTACTCTGCAAAGATGAATACATTCGAAACAGGGCGCATGTAATCACTCATTCTCATTCAACTCAATCCTCCAGTAACAGGGACTCACTTTAAAAGACACGTCAAGCGGTATCATTTTCATTCATTCTGTCTTGTGTTTAGGGTACCGCACGGGTAACACCGAGGGTCGGAAAGTTGACACCGCACCTGCACCCGCCAACACTGTACCCTTCACGGGTACGGGTACACACCGACCCGTCAATGTCGCGGTTTATGGAAAACACCGCGGTGTCTCTGAACACCGCGGGTACATTACCAAGAAGAGTGTATTAAGTATTAACAACAATGAAATAAAATAGTACTACTTTTCCTTGTCATTCTCCTCTGCTTCGACTTCATTTCGCTTCCGTTTTTGAGTCCTGACAGCGGCTAAAAGGTCCTCCATCACCAGAAGATCACTTCTGCCCCACGCTCCGAGGCAGAGAAAGGCACGAATTGTTGATGGTGCGAGTCGGTTGCGAGTAAAATGACACAAGCGGCCATTGTGGTGTTGGACCACAACTTCGGATGAAAAGAAACTATAGATAGGTGACCGCCAAGTCTTCTTGAGAGCCTCTGTATCATTGTATAATCAGATATTTGCAAAAATCAATGGAAAGAAACATACCAAGATCTGCAGAAGGATCGGGATCAGGCTCGAATGCACCTGCCGTTGATTTGTTATCGTCAGTGGCAAGTGAATCAGTACTTGATCGCGTAAGATCAACGGTGTCTGTGGGGCTCGATCGAGAAGACCGAGACACAAATGACTGCTTGACCTTCTTCAAGGGGCGGGCCAGAGCCTTAGCACCCTTTGCAACAGCCTTTTTGAGTGACCTGGCCTTCTCGGAGATGGACGACGAGATAGACTTAGATGATGAGTGTGACTGGGTAGACGAAGCATCAGATGCCTTCTTTGTGAGCTTAGTTTTCATGGGGAGACGACTCAGTGGACTTACTGGTCTCGAGTTTTTGCCTTGGCTTTATGGTAGTGACTCGAGCTTCTCTGCAACGAAGTGTCAGCTCAATAAATTGCTAGAATGATTCACGGGGGTACAAAAGACATAACAGAAATCAGTATAGCATTCACTTGTGATCCTCAAGCTCTCAGAGGAAGGAAAAACAGAGAATCAAACACGGTGTTCAATGGCTGTCGCGCGCCTGGTTCCCGATTTGGTATATTATACCCGCCCAAACACCGTCAACCCGCGGTGAATGGCCACGGTATGCTCAAGGGTACGACTATCCTACTCCGTACCCGTACCCTCCAAACCCGTCAGCATAGAACCGCGGTGTTACCCGTACCCGTGCGTTTCCCTACTTGTGTTCTATTTCTTATTGTAACACTTACTGCTACAGAACTACGACATTGATGCTTCGAATCTAGTGAGTACTGATCCTACTCCATTGTATACTCATTTATGTATTCTATCTAGGTTGCTGACTGCGTGTGGACCGCAAATATGGTCGAAGTGCTTACGAAGTTCTCCAGTGGCATGTTACATTAGCTGGGCACCGGGGTAGGACGGCCCTGGACGGAGGAGCTGGCGCGAACGAGCACGGGTGGTTTTTACTAGTATTGGCATGTTTTTTATTATTGAAATGCATCGATTTCCGTATATTTGCGTCGAAGCCAGCAAGATATATGAAAGGGACACACAGTTATATTTAGATCTCCGGAATTCTATCTAGTAGTCAATGCGTTGAAAAGCATACACCAGCGCCGATGCGCATCATTTTTGCAGCTACGGAAAGCGCAGATACCAATGCGTGTCTAAACAATACGAAGTGTCATATAGCCACAGTATATCTGCGTGGAAATGGCCATGTCCGATTTTCACTGCGACTGAACGTTGAACAGTTATCACATGGATATATTGGTGTTACTTGGTGTAGGTGGGGCGGTCAATATTCAAATATCCAATGATAACAGGTCATGCGTGAGATTTGTGCCGTTCTCCGCGAGATTTCGCCGCCTCCGGTTTCGCGCCTCGAAATTGACGGTCCTAGCTCCGCTCCACTTTGCAGTCTAAATGTCGGCAGCCATAATTTCACGGGAACCACTCTGACGACATGCTCGCGTCACTGCCTCACCCAGTGGTGATTCCTGCTCATTCTGATTGATATAGACATCCTCCTGTAGTAGATGCTTCATACATATATATATTCACCACCTCTCGGGACTGCAAATCTCGGACTGCAAACCTCACTCATTGGACTGTCAAATTTTCACACGAAGTTGCGGCGGGTGTATGTCGTATATTGCAAATTTACACACCTCTTGTTACTATGCGACAGCAACAGGAAGACCCATCGCGATTCGGCTGATAGGCTGGATAATATCTGCATCAACGCCAAGTCCAATGTATGGGAGGCCCGTCCCGTCGCTCGCGAAGTCAGGTGGGTTAGTACCGGCAAGGAAGGTCTCAGCCTGCCTCTTGACGTAGGCTGTGTTTTGAGGGGTCTGCGGAACGGCTGGGATATACATGACTGGACATTGACCGATTAGATCTGCACATTTACACAAAGCTTATTGAATCAGGCTCACCAGCAAAGTCGCGTGAACCGGTGTGCTCCTGCTCGACAGAATGAACGACATCCTGTGCAGAGAATTAACAAGAATAGAGAATAACAGTGGGAGTATGGCGCACGCAGTGCCAGAATATTCAGGTCACCAGGGTTGACTTTGGGAACGGAGGTCATGGTATCGTGTAGCCTGAGATGAGGATGCAAGTCTGGGGTGGGTCGTAGGTCGACCCAGCCGCTGTCTTGAGGCTGAATGCCAGGAAAATCGGGAGTGGATATATCTAGAATTATTACTCAGGGGGATACTAAAAAAACAAGTCAGTTTATACAGACCGAACACCCAGTTCTTCGGATCAAGTATGTCCTTGGAGTCGAGGGGGACAGTCGGTCGGAAGAATGGGCGGAGGATTGTGTACGCATTTGACAAGGGCACATCGGGGAATACTTTCAGGGTTCCTTGCGTAGGGGCGGTTTCGCTGGAATCGATATCAACCTTCGTATTCAAACTCAATCAAAGGAAGCTCCGACCTCATAGCCAGCCAACCCTGGAAGGTCCGGAACACTGTTGCCTACGAGAAATAAGAGTGAGCCGTGCATTTAATAGCGCTGTCACAGCATACCTGTCCAGGTCTCCCGCACAAGGATGCATGGGCATCAAGACGGCCCTCAAGTTCATATGGGTCGTGCTGGCGCCAGTTACCACTTAATATATCTGCGAAATACTTGCGGGAATTCGGGAATTATTATCTTCCCAGCGCTTGATGGAACCACCTAAAATGCGCATCAAAACCGTTTTTTTTTTCAAGAAAGGCGGGCGCACCATCAACGCGAGGGGGGTGGTCATCCCATTGCACACCAGGGTGACGAATGCGGAACCGATCTGCATATACCAACGGAACGTCGAGATTGACGCCTTCCATTTTCTTGCCGGTCTTTGCACGGTAAAGGTTATTGAGCCAAGTGGAAACTTTAAGAACATTAGGGTGGGCGCGTGCTTGCACTTGTGCTCGGGTCCAAGCTAGTGAGCGGAATCAGTATCCATGAACACTCAGGTGATCAGGAACTATTCCTGACTAAAGGAAGAAGAGTTGCTTGTCTTGTTCTGGATAACCTGCAAGGGTTGTGGGTGAGTGAGATAACGAGCCATCAATTATGGACCCAAGGCCGACCTTCGACGTGAGGGTTAGCTTTGATAACATCTTCCAAAGCAGTCTTCCAACTAGCAGCTTCACCCTCCTCAACAACACCATGGATGATAATAGAAGCCCTTGCGTCGAATATCATCGAGCTGCTCAGGGACCAGCGTGTCCAGGTAATTGAAAATGGACTTGAGGGATATACTACAGAACGATTAGTGACTCAGAAGTGAAAATCGGAGATGACCGACGTTGGGGCCCTCGTCGGCAATTTCTGTCGTGCGCTCATCGAGTTCCTGGAGAAGATCATTCCAAGACTCAGTCAAGCGTCTCTCATAGTCAGGAGTCGCTGCCACAATTTCGCGCTTGAGGTCAGCAAAGCGCTCGGGCCAATTGATTGGCGAAACCATCGCTGAAAGGATGTCCTACAATTATAAATGTTGAACTGAAGCCCCCAGCTCACTCTTATAACCCGTTTAATGATATCATTTCGTGGTTACGGGCCGCTTCTGACATAACCGGTGTTCAGAGGTACACGGCATGACGCCAATAATACCCACACATTACAGCGAGCGCTGATGGAATGCAAGATGGAGGCTGTATGAGCAACGACGCTACGAGTTATTCGGCATCCATCAGTAAGATATTGCTGTGTGTGAGAAGTAGCAGAATACAAAGTTGGACATGTACGCAAAATGTCGCACCCAGAACATTGCAATATTCTCATGCCAGAGCCTCGTGATTCTAATAATAACATCTGAAGCGCAAGCACTCAACAGTTTTGACGCTCACGAGAACTGAAAACGTACCAAAAATTGACACTCAGATGAGGATAGGATAGAGCTGCAGAAACAAGCATCAGGACCCGTAAGTATCAGCCGTGATTCATGGAAAACGATCCGATCCGAATAGGATCTCCGTGCATAAATAAAAATAGGCTGCAAAAGTAGATCCATGCTGAAAATAGGACGATAACGACGAAAGAAAGACAACCCAAGTCGCGGTGTTCAGCCTGTATTATTGCTCGCTCTCGGCTTCAGCTTCTTCCTCTTCCACCGTAGCTTCTTGATACTGTGGATACATAGTCAACCAGCTGTCCTATCACAAGAAACAAATAATATTACCTGTTGATATTCTGATCTGTATTTAGAAAATACAATAATCAGTGACGTACGACGGTACAGATGCGTACAGCACATTAGATCCTGAGTGTTACTCTCTGCCTCAGAGAACTCCATCACATCCATACCCTCCCCAGTGTACCAATGCAAGAACGCGCGGCGCTTGAACATAAGGGCAAACTGGTCAAGGTTGCGTTTGAAGAGTTCCTGAATACAGGTTGAATTTGCAAGGGCTACCGCTGCCTGAGGTTGGCCCACGGGGGGCACAGAGCAAAGCGAAACGGACACGTTGTCCGGAATCCACCTGAAATGTGTCAATGAAGCCTCTGCCAGACCAGAACTTTTGCGTACTCCACAAAGAGATTCGAATTCTTCCGTTGCAGCTGCATGACCGAGTTCTGCACAAACGTCAGTAGTGCGATTTCATCATAGTACTACATCATACCTCTGCCTATGGAAAAGAATCACATGACAAATTCACAAACATGTACAATCAGCGTACCTCATGTGACGACACCTTGCCTCGGAAGATACAAGCAGCAGTCAGGTACCGACTGGGGTTACAAATTTTAGTGAGCCGTTTATACTTGTGCTTCATATGACATACCCAAATCGAGGATCCGAAGCAACCAGAAAGATTCTTTTTGTCAAACAGGCTGCAGCTCAATGAGCGAAAATCGACTGCCATCGATTGTTAAACTCACGATGAGGTGAGTTCGGGAACAGAGAGTCTCTGGAAAGTCCGAGCTTTTGGATCGTAGAATGGAGCAAAACTCGGCATCAGAAAATGGAGCTGGAGCATGGAGTCAGACAAAGTGAAGAAGCACTGCGAAAAACTCACACGAGGGAAGGGAACAAGGTTCATCCCAAGTTTCCGAAGATCACTGAGGAAATTGTTGGAAGGACTAGACACTCATCCATCGGGGATTGCTTACCCGTTGAGCTGACCAGGAAACCTCAGACTCGTGCTGACACCACACATGACCTTGGCTATGAGCTGCGATAGAAATTGAACAATGGCACACGGATGTAAATAAATGAGGCTTACTTCGTTCAAATCTTTGTATGCAGGGCTTTTGATTTTAAGAGTGCGGACGGCTATGTCATACCTGATTTCATTAGGGTTTAGCTCGCCAAACAGATCGGGAAATTCTCACAAGGCCTCGTTGTCGATACAGATGGTAAGATCGCAGTTATCGACTAGTTGATGTACAGAAAGAAGGGAATTATATGGCTGACGCTGATCAGCGACAAATCAGCCAGAGAATGGAAGCCATATCTTACTTCAACAACAGTCTCGGAGACCTGCAAATTAATATCAGTCATCAGCCTCACCTGGGAGACGTCAGCCACTGACATTGGGTGCAGGAAGAATCGAAAACGTAGAAAGCATTCGATCGGGATATTCCTATTCATAGGTCAGTGTACACGTAGACCGGGCAATATTACCAGGGCAGACCTCCCGCAGCTTTGAGAGAAGCAGGGAACCCAGACCAGCGCCAGTACCACCTCCGAGTGAGTGAATTATCTGGAATCCTTGCAATGCCTCTGTAGCCTCGGACTGTCTTCGAACAATATCCAAGATGCCGTCAATCAACTCGGCCCCTGAATTTCGGACTCATCAGGCATCTCAGGAAGCGGATGGTAGCGATATCTCCGCACCTTCGGTGTAATCTAAGCTAGTGTTACGATATATTATCAGATCATGAAGTACAAAGAAACGCAAAACTTACATCCTTTTGCCCAGTTATTTCCAGCCCCTGAGTCGCTAGTGAAGTACGTATCTGGACGAAATAGCTGACCCAGCGGCCCCGAACGAAGCTATAAAAAATCAGAACCTCGTGTAAAAACTGAATTCGGTCAAACTGACGCGATTGCAGACCCCGGATTCGAGATCCACCTGAACGCTTCGCGGGAACATACTTGGTAGGTCCACTAGAGTCCACTTGTGTAAAGTATACGCCTGCCTGTGAACGACAGAGATCAGAAGAAGGCGGTGAGTAGCGTTATGATGACGGACTCGTGCAATTTGTTGAGGGATCATTGCCTTTGTACATCTAGATATATGATGCCGCCATGTCAGCTGATATCTACGTGGGCTGAGTCCTGAGCTTCAAAGGAGCTGCTCACCCCAGCATCGTCGAGGCCATGCTCCGCTAAGAGCATCCTCCAAAAGGCCTCTCCAACTTGGTTTCCTGCCTGCGATGTTATTTTTCATGAACAACCCTGAACCCAGACTACAAGCATCACAACGATTCACCTGCCCGACCTAAATCAACAGAATTGCAAGTCAGAACAACAATCGCGGGACAGATGCTTATGAACCTACTTGAATGTTCACTATCTCTCGAGACATGATGGAAAGACGAAAAGAGATCGATGACCAAGACGGTTCACAAGTTGAACCACAACCAGTAAGTAGCACTATGATTCGAGGGGTTACGCTCGGGGATTGCCGAACATACTTAATAGAGCACCCCATGTGACCGTGTCCCATTTACGCGTCGCGTTCTACCACCAACGTCCATTATGCGTTTCAGAGCTACCATAGAGAATGTCCCAGTTTTCTATCGTCAGTAATTGTATGGACCACATGTTCCGGTCTTTCTGAATCACTTTTAGGTCTCATACAAGCGGTGGAAAAATTGCAGAAAAAATGTATCATGAAGTTCACCGAAACCGAGATGCACGTCATTTGCAACGATGATGCGAACGAGGGTGGGATTCAAGTCTGGTCGTAAGCTGAATCCGGTGTCCTTCTACCGCATGCATCTCATCTTCACGGATAGCGTCGTAAAGGTCGACACCATGTTCACATCATACCGAATCCAATCCAATGCAGACAATGCAATAACCCTGACACTGTCTGCAGAAGCACTGTTATCAGCTCTTCGATCGTCTTCTTCATCAGCATCATCGTCCTCTGTAGCAGCTGCTATCCTTCCTTCGTACGACGCTGATGAAGTCGTCATGAAGCTTGCTAAGAAAAACGAACAGGCCGTGTTGAGCTTCGAGATGTACGGGATGTCCAGGTCAGGACGCAAAGTCCGCGTTACACATGATGTACGTATAGACGTGATGCGGCCAGCGGAAAGTGATAAACTCCACGAACCACGGTGTCCAGACCCAGAGGTAGGTGCTCGTTTTATTTCCTGCATACCGCGGAAGCTAACGCACATCAGGTTCATGTCCTACTCCCCCCTCTACTAAAACTCCGTACCATAGTGGAGAGACTACGTCCACTTTCGGACGTGCTTGCATTACGTGCGAACAACAGTGGCATCCTTCAATTATCCATCAACACCGACACCGTGAAACTTGAGACACAATGGGTCAAATGCGGTAACCCGTCAATAGGTGAGCAACGCGGTCCGCTCTGCTGACGACATATTTTATAACTCTCCTCAGCCAAACATGGGATAGCCCAGAACGACGAAGACGACGATGCAGAAGACATCTTGCTGAATAAGCCCGACCCCGACAAAATGTTTTGCGTGCTCGTCTCCATCCGGAGCTTTCTCAAGTTTTTAAACAGCCATGTTGTATCTGCCACCACAATCTTGTGTATGTATTCCCATTTGCACGTTCCATCTCATCAACACTTTTGTCCATACAGGTTTATGTCACAATCACTGTGCTATCTTGTACGTCTATATCGGCGAAATAGCTGACGCAGGAGGCGTCCTCACGTACTATATTCCGACCGTCATCGATGGCGACGAGTAATTCTCAAGGACAATTCCTTCCACTGTGGTGAGCGTGTCCGCAATCTGACGATCTCAAAGGTAGCTGACCAGATGATAACGCGTTTAACGGTGTAGATCTTCGTCCGCTTGATATCCATTTATCGACCGATATTAACTCCCTTATCACCGGCTCCGACAATTTTCCGGAACAATAATGTTATAATTTTGGGCATGGGCAGAGGCTACAGAGGGATACCAAATGAAGAAACTAACACAATGGCATGTAACATGCAATGTGAGTAATACAGAACATCACGCTTCCCAGAAGTCTTCGTGTTGCACGACCCGCGATACCAGCACGCCCCTATACCTAATTCCACGCTTCCGAGCACACCTTGTCCGGACGCCTGCTGTTCCGGCCTTTGCAATCTATCTTCCCACAATCCTGACACGCATTCATACAAAAAGTGCGTCCACCTTTGCCCTTGCAGTCCTGCGAACCGCACTTACAACAGTGTCGAGTTCGTTTTTGCGAAGGCTCTAGGATCGCAACTTCACTACTGGTCTCACCATAACCATACGCTCGTTTAAGTCCATTTTGCTCACTTGGCGTATGCGGCTGAGAAACTGGTGGAGGCGGAGGATTTTGACTTTGGGGGTGCTGAGGGTAATATGAGTACCCGGGATAGGCATACGATACATACGGGCCTGGCTGTCCGAAAGTAAACTGTTGTACCTGCGGCGGAGCTTGTGCCTGTGCCTGAGGTTGAGGCTGAGGAGGTTGCGGCTGCGACTGCACGGGCGTGGACACTGATGCAGTAGGATGATCAGGCGTAGCACTACCAAGAGTAGATGACGAGGGTTGAGGCATAGCGGGATGAATCTGGGTTGATGGACCGGGCTCTGGGGCACTAGAGTCTGCCTTCCATGCATCACTGAACTCGCCTATAGCGTCCTGCTTGCGCTATTAGCAGACAAGAGGCAGAAGGCGGGTAGATGCATACTTGGTTGTTGTTGTCGATTTCTCGACGAAAGATATCAGCACCCACACCACTATCGTCAACATCAAATTCCTGATCTTGGTCCCTTTTCTCGTCAGCAGGCGGGTTCTGGACGGCGTTGATGATATTGAGAATGTTGTCTTTGGGAATCCCGACTTTAAGGCAGGCTTTCACCATGTTCCAAAGCATTTTGGAGACTCCGACAGCATGCCAATTCCAAACATTGGCTCCAGGGCCCAGATCGGCGTCACCCTGTAACAGCCGCGCTGGAAACTCTTCTCTCAGCCTCACGGGAAGTCCCTGCATAACAGATGCGTCCGTGCTGGCGAATTTGCGTCCTTCAGGAGTCGTGCTAGCGATACATGATATACTTTTACATGCGTACTCGCATCCGATGATGAAGAAGGGTTTGTCAAGATCGTAAACCTTGACTGGGCCGCTTCGAATGCGGCCTCGGTTTTGGAGAGTACTCCCACACGCGGTGCAATGAATGCCGGCAAGAACGAGAGGTAACGGATCCCAATACAAGAATCGATGCTCGGAGTGTGTGACTCGGGCAGTCGTCCGGGGTGCAATCAATGATAAATAAGATGGAGACGAAGGAAGCCACAAAGTCCTAAGAACCGAATATAGAGAAGGAATGGAATGCGCATCTTTGTTCTGGTTTTGGGATGGCATGAGTGAAGCGAGGTGGGACCTGAAAGCTTCTTCGACAGTAGGTCCTCCGCTGGCGATGGGATTGGGTGCGGCGATAGCTCCTAAGAGGGCCTGCATAAGCACATTAGGCTTCGTACACGAAAGTTCCGCCCATTCATCACGATTAAGGTTGGGGTCTATGGAAGGATGTTGAGCGTTCGGGGCTGAATTGCCATTTGTAATGGGGGGTGTGGCTTGTGGGGCTTGAGGGGTGAATCCTTGCCATGGAGGTGGGATGCCGGGGTGTTGTGGGTAATATGCCTGCCGACAAACGATCAGTGCTTTGAAAACCTTGGACAAAGTGGAACACGCACCCCAGGGAATGGTACACCAGGCGGAAGTTGTGGCGCATCCGCACTCAGCTTTACACTCGATCGTCGCTGCTGATTTGCTTTCCGAGCGCCGACAGATCCGGCAGGCAAACCATCTTTACGAGGACGGCCTACCGGACGCTTGATCTTTTCGCTGATGATGGCGGGATCTGGAGGCTGTTTTTTCCCACTTCCTTTGGGTCGTCCAGGTTTGCGCTTAGGGGGAGGCTCATTAGGGTCTACGGCTGTATGTCAAGGGTTAGCAAAGAATAAAATACAGATGATAAAAATTGTACCCTGCACAATAGCAGAAGCCGATTCGACTGGCATGTTCCCCATGGTGTTCTCCATTGAGAATTTCTGGAGATATGTGAGCGGCGTTGAGACATAAAGGAAGCATAAGTTAAAGATGGAAGATTGCAAAGAGGATATCCCTGCAACAAAGACCGAATATACGACATAACCCAACACGCTAGAAAGTAGTTATCCAAGATAAAACAGTAATCTGGACAAGGACATCGCCTATTGCGTGCCTCAAAAATGTTCTTAAAAATGAGAAAAACGTAGGAAAATAGAGGATGAATCTTTGGTGATAAAGGATGTAGAGCTCACCGCTGATGAACGTTAGTCTTTGTAGCTAGTTAATGGAGAGTTTCTTGTTAGCAGTTGCTAACAGCTTATCCCCTGAGACGCTCGGCTGTGGTCGTGAGAAAGCGGTTAGGCGACAAATGCTTTTCCTGTTTTATTCAATCGGAGCTTAAATTGAAACCTTAAATGCTGTCCAACTTTTTATTGCTCCCAATGCTATCCTATCGATTGTAGAGGTGAGTGTACCATGATTTCACTGCTTAGAATCTATTTCACCATTCTACGATGATCTGTAACCGAATGCAATTAGGAAGTGCCGTCTCAAAGTCATCTATTGATGACTGGTGTCGAAACTCGGTTCTCTGACTTATCATTTGACTCGGTGTTCATTTGAAAAATCCACTCATCTTTTTCTCCATAGGTGCTTAATACGATCAAGAATTCGTATTCGCTATGGCATGGTTCTACAAGGTAACAGTACAAATTGCAATTGCATTACAGTAATATTGTGTTTTTGAAAAGCCTTCTCTATATTATATATTCCATTTTCTAGTTGGACAACTGCTTGATCTTCATAATGATCGCTGTGGGAACGTTACAATTAACATCAGTCAGCACCAAATTCAAGAATAACACAAACATTGAGGGTCAAGGTTTTGGTAAGGAATTTGCTCGGACAGACCACCACAGCCTTCCTTGATCGTACCCATGTAGCCGTACTTCGGTGTGAGCTGGCGCTCGATGAGCCAAGTACCCATCTTCGAACCAAGCTGGAAGAGCAGTTAGTGTGGGTCTATCGCACACGAATGGATACATACCCCGGTCTTCTGGTTCAGTGACTCAACGACCAGCACGAAGGGGCTTGAGCCAATCTTCCTGAGCGTTTGTTCGTCGACCAAGTTGAGCGTAGGCTTGTTGATCAAGCCAACATCCAGGCCCTCCTGGCGGCAGCGCAGGACAGCATCCCACGAGCGGTAGAGCATCTCACCGAAAGAGACAACGTATCCAGCCTTGCCCTCGACGATCGTCTCGTCCTTGCCAGGCACAAACTTGTAGCCGTCACCGAAGAATTTGGTACCGTCCTCCTTGAGGATGTAAGGCACCTTCGAACGCGTGGAGAAGACGAAGCGGAGACCACGCTCGAAGAAGACGCGCTGGATGACAGCCACCATCTGCAATGGGTCGGCAGGGAAGTACAGCCACGACTGAACATCAGAGAGACCATTGTCGGCGAAGAAGGAGTTGACACCAAAGTGGCAGGTGTTGTCGGCCATCTATTGACAAAGTGAGCCCAAGCCTCAGATCTAACACCGATAATTCACACACCTCATCAACACCAGAGTGCGAGAAGTGACTAAGAACATTGCAGTTGTTCAGCCGGGCCATGGTGACCTCAGAGATAACCATCTCAAGGAAAGCGGAGAAGGTTGAGAAGACACCGAACTTGTTCGCGTCGAAACCGAAACCAGCAGCTGTCGAGAAGTTTCCACGTTCCATGATACCGGATGGAACGAACACCTCAGGGTGCTTTTGGTGGATAACCTTGAGGCCAGTGGAACCCTCGAGATCACCTTTTTGAAATGAGCTAAGTTCCTAAATTTATCGATGAACTCACTGTCGATCACCATGACTCTTTCGGCAGCCTCTTCCTTGCTAAGCTTGTCCAGTACCAAGTTGACAGCTTCACCAAAGACAACACGGTTTGCGCCAACTTCCTTGGTGGAGCCAATGTATAAGTATGGCGCGCTCGAAGGCTTAATGTTGTTGAGGATACCCTCCGACGTTGAAGCGGGGTATCCCCGCGCGGTGAGGTATTTGATGGCGGCCTTCACAGGGATAACATCGTGCCCGTGAGTGCTACCCTCAATGTCAGCAACACCTGGCGCCATAAGACGCTTGGCAACGACTAGAGCCATGATCAAAACTCAAGTTACGCTGGGAAATCGACGGGCTTACCAGCAGCAGGACCATCGTAGGTGACAATCGCAGCGATGGCGGTCCACAGGGCGTCGATGTCCTCGCCCTGAACAGTGTAGACCTTGAGACCGTGACCCTCAAGAGTCTTACTGACGTCGTAGCCCTTGAGGTACTGAGATGGGTGTCCGGCGATAGTGACGTCATTGTCATCGATCAACAACTTAACGTTCAAGTTCTGCGCGACAGCCAATCTGGCAGCCTCGGCATCGTTACCCTCCTGCTGGGAACCATCGGAACCCAAACAGAAGACAACTTTCTCCTTGTTGGCCATGGCGACACCGTTCACCATGGGCCACATGTGACCAAGACGGCCAGAGGAGAACTTGACACCAGGTGTCAAACCCAGTTCGGGGTGACCAGGTAACTTTGAGTTGGCTTCACGGTAGTGAAGAAGGTGCTCAGGGGGGATGTGCCCATCGAGAGCAGCGAGGAGGTATTGAGTCGCGACACGGTGACCTTAATATATTGTTAGGTCGAGTCCAAAATATGCATATACTCATTTGCATACCTGCCTCGTCGAAGACGATGGGGAGGTATTTCTCCGACGCCTCGAACAAGCTGAGGAGAATGCACACCTCCGGAATAGTGTCATAAGCTCCACCTGATGCGAACGGTAAGCGAGAAGCAAGCTATCGGAGATCAAGGCCACAAACCAGTGTGCCCGCTCACTCCCCGAGCAGCGCCTGTTGCAGTGAAGAGCACGAGGGCATCACGGAGAAGCTGGATGTTGTGCAGAAGAGTCGATCTCTGCTCTGCAGTCAACTGGGGCTTGGAGGGGTCAAGGGTCAATCTTATCGCATCATAAAAACCCCGATTGAGCACATATTCCAAATTTAATGCGACAAGAAGAGAACACTGACTTTCTGTACTGCTTGAGATCAATTGGGAACGCGCTCTCTGTGCCGGGCATTTTGGGAGATCAGGTGCTTCGGAGGTCTAAGTAA